AAAACTCATGTAAAAACGAGAATTAGCGAGATTTCAAAGCTATTTAGAAACTCCTCTATTCTGGGGTATTCCCCTTTCCTTAAAACAAGCGAAGGATAAAATTGATTTATACATGTACAGGCCCAGGGGTATTCACATATAAGTTGAACTATGTAAAGTGCAAGTGTAACTGAGTAACCCTTTGCAAAATTGGTAAAAAATGCCTCAAATCATGCAATACTTAGCTCAATCTAAGAGTGTGGGTGGCCAAAATAACTACTGGGTAAACTAATAGGTAGCTTTTCTTTAAAATCAGGTAGTTATTAACTACCATGGCAACGCGAGCTTCGAGGCCTGGGTATTAACATCTATGGTTTACTGGAAAACTATTGTGTTATTGTCAACTTCAGATTACTCCAAATCATTATTTTTATTTGAGAGTAGGAAAGAAAGAACATGTCAGAGGTGAGTGACTGCATAACCCTCACAGCTACTAAACTGACAAAATCATTGTTTCCACCTTTCAGTAGAGGGGAAACTGACTAGTTATTTAAAAGGCTATATTAAGGACCATCTCTAAGCACACATAATATAATATATCATTTGTGTTCTGGGAAACTCCTTTATGATATTGATATACATATATTGATATATTCAATGAATATTATTCATATTAGAACAAGAAAGGGGAGGGGGTTCATTTACCAGTCAAAGCAGACTGCCCTGGCCTCTTTCTGGAGAATATTCAATCAGTAATATATCCAACAATAGCCATCAAAATATGCTTGATACCCATCAATTTTGGTAAAAAATGTTGAATATGTTCATATATTTGATCTTTCAAGGCAAACATATAAGTAGCTTCAACTTGTAATTCAGGAGAAAAGGGTTCATATCAAACATTCTCTAGTTTAATGCATTAACTTTGTAGTTTGCACCTATAAACTTTACATCAGATAAATAAGTGATTGAACAATACTCAGTAATTTTTTTTGGACCACCCTGTATAATGTAAGATTTAATTTTTCTGAACATTACATCATCATGCATAACTTTCATTACATTAACATTTATAACTTTAACTAAATTCAACAATCATCTGTCACCTGTACAGTACCTGTACTTCGTATCTCCTAATATTTTGCACTAGATTTATTATTCTGTGGCATTTTATTACTGTAGATACACTAAATTTGATGTTACTTAATTTTGCGCTACTTAATTTGGCAATCTACTCAATTTCAAATATTGGCTGCTATTTAATTTGGCTGAGTCTGGACTGAGCTCATTTTTTATCATTGATCTGGAAATAAGCATTTTAGATTCATGAGTGCTACTTATGGAGTAGGTCTTGGCACTGACATCCAAATAAGAATACACCTACAATAGTAAAATAATTGCAAATTACAAATTTCTTCTTGATTTTCCAAAATAGATCTGAAATTTTGCAGATTTTTCAACCTGCCAATCCGTCAAATTAAAGCGGTGGCCAAATTTAGTGTATGTACAGTTTGAAAAATTCAATACTTGTTACTATACCATCAGGCCCGTAGCCAGGGGGGGTTCGCAGGGTTCGGGCGAACCCCCCCCCCCCCCCCCCCCTGGCCAAAAATTCTTTCAAAATCATGCAGTTTTTCACCATTTTGAGCACTTCTCAAGTAATTTTAGCCATATTTGGGCCAAAATTGTCTAATGTGAACCCCCCCTGGAAATTTTTGAAACTGAACCCCCCCCCCCCCCTTGGCAAATCCTGGCTACGGGCCTGACCATATTTGAATTATACTATAGTGCAGGGGTTTCATTAGCAGCAGGTGATTTTCACCAGTTGTTTTCACAAAATTAGGGACTTTTCAACTTTTACATGTTAAATTCATGATATTTTAGCCTAATGTGAGAAATTCTAGTGAAACCCCTGATAATGAAAGCTTTATTTTAATGTCTGTAGTGACATTATGTACTGTACATGTACATAACAGTTAAAACTAAATTCAAAATTTGATAAAATACATCATATCATACAGTTCAAATCATGCACTTGTTTTTCATCACTGAAAAGTCTATTCTTTACTGTTTATGCACATTTTGGATAAAAACTTGACCATATCTCAATGATCACCTATTAGTATTCCTACAGAGTGGTAAAAAAACTGGAAACCCTTACACCTTTTTCCTTATATCTTTGTCATTTCAAGAAATAAATTTGCACATTTGTACATCACTCAATTTCCTACCTACTTACCTTATTTCATGACCATCAGATAAATAGTTACAGTGTTACAGCACTTAAAAAACATTCCTTTGGCCACTATTGTGCTGTAGAGAAACCTGCACATGTTGTCCAAAATGTCCCTTCCTATGGGGATATGACAGAGATAGAGTATATAAGAATGACATCGGGACTATTGCGGACCTCAAAAGTGAGATCACCTGTATCATTCAGGCCATACCTGCTGAGGAATGCATTTGGATCATTAACAACTGTGCAGGTTTGCCTACAGCGTGATGATGGTCAAACCTGAAGCATAAGTGCTGTAAAATTGTGACTATCAGTCTGATGGTCATGAAATATGGTAGAATGGTAGGAAATTAAATGGTTTACAAATATGTGAAATACTCAATGCATTGTGAAATTACCATCTTGCTTTCCAAAATTGGCAGGAGATGCTTTGCAAAAAGGGGATGAGATTTGATTAGGGACTGTAGAAATGTCAAAGTGTCAATGAAGAGATAATGATATTAAATTCACAAGAAAATGAGGCCTAATATACAGGGTGACCATAAAGTTTAATCAAAAGTGCTCTAAAATAGAATATCCCATACATATCATAACTGTACATGTACTTGTATTTATTTACATTCATGAACATTGAAGTATAAAAGAGTACACGACAGATAAGATACATGGTGGGTCTTACAATTAGAGATAGCATTGTTTTGTTATATATATACTATATTATATATATCTTTTCAGGATACTCAATCATGGGCAAGACACACTAGGACTATAGAAATCTAGTCTCTAGGAGGGTGAAGATGTATCACACAAAACCTAGGTAAGAATTAGACAGAAAACATTTTTTCTGAAAGGCCTCGTTATGCTAAAACCTCCGATCCTATTCAATGACCCCTACTCAAATCAAATATCAATCCCAATACTAGTACATGTAGTTAGAAAAGTGGTCATTGGGATGTTTTAACTGAGTCAAAGCTTTTGGTTACCTGTAAATGTGTTAATGCTTGTCATTTCAAATCTCATGTTAAAATGACTTTTGGAAGTGTTGGTGGTTTACCTTTGTAAAGTGTAGGATAAAGAATTATAATCGGTTAAAGATGTGTTTGTTGAATATTGATTAATCAATGATTGGTCCAAAATTCACGTTACTTTTTACTCGTGGAGGTCATTCAGTTTCTTTCTTAAGCGTTTTTCCTTTAAGGATCTCCCAAGATCATCAGCCATTTTCTTTTTCAAAAATTTTGCCATGGCAAAACCTCTTATTTTGATAAACACTCGTATGCACCTTTCTAAAACAAATGATGATGACTGGTTAGAATCCAAGTGAGAAGCCAGAATGGCCCAGTGAAACTTTACCTCTGGATCATCACATATTGCTTCACATGTTTTTATTGGGCCATGGGTCTGTGCTAAGCCTAATCTAAAAAAGGTTTCGGCCCTTTTAATGAGGTTTACAAGAGGCTTCGCAGGGGTTATGAGTCCTCCCCTATCTAAGGTGTCAATCCACGAAGATTCATCTGATGAGGTTGAACATTGTTTCAATATGTTTTCACAGAACTGATTTAGATCTTGTTTATCAGCCCGACTTGACTTGGAGACTAAACGCCTCACTGATCTAACTATATAGCCTGTTATATATCTGATTACATCACATTCCTCATTATCGATATCTTCAGGAGGAAATATTTCAACTGACTGTTGTGGCACTTTCGACAGTAGGTGCTCCAATATGTGCAGCGATGCCTTGCACAGGGTGGCCTTGATAACTAACACATTGGTGGGTTTGCATGTGTCAATAAAAGTGTCAGAGCTTTCCCTAATTTTGGGGATCGTTTGATTGTGAAAGTCTCTAATGATGCATTCTTTCATCTCACTGAGAGTTGCCAGATCTCTGTTGTCACGCAATATTTTGTACATAGAGTAATTAAGAATCTCTCTGAATTTGTCATTTCCTCTCATGTGCTGCACTACATTATCAACTGCATTGTTGCTTGATTTGACCTTGTCAAAGCCAGAGATGTAGCTGTCTTTAAATTCTTGATCTATCCATTCTTTAGAAAAATACCCTGAAGGAAAAAATGAATAAAATTAACAAGCACACTCGATGAAGAGTATTAATGAAGTTATCATTTTGGACATGCAATTGGAAAGTGAAAATGTAAGTAGTGTTTGGGCTGTAGAGATATATGGTGACCCAGTCTATCCATCTTTCATTCTCTGAAAATCAAGGGGAGAGTATATGTTAATTTTCCAATCAAATGAAGTTTGGAGGAATATAGAGAATACCTCTGTCCTTCTGTTTGTCCATCCGTCTGGGCGATACCTCAAATACCACATGCCTGTCTTTGCCTGATTTTGTTCATATTTTGTACACCTATGCCTTATGGGGGTAGAAGATCTGCTTGAAGGATGATTTTCAATATGGCCTCTTTTGTGAAAATGGCTGCGGTTTTAGATTTTGCATTAATTTATGTACAATGTATATTGTATAAAACTTTAAAAGCAATACGTTTTAAATGTAAAAAAATAATAAGACATTAATAAAGCTATAACTTTAAGTAGTGGACGAGTATGTTCATATTAGATATGTGAACACTCATTAGCATGGCACACTCTTATGTGACACTTTGGCAAGACACGTAGAACTGATTTCAGTCATGTGATGTATTTTAGGTTTACCCTGTACATGAATTTTGTTTATTTTGATTTGAAATCCAATCACCTATGTGTTCCATTATTGAAGTTCAAGTTTATTGCATTTATCTTATTATTATTTATTATCTTATTATAGTTTCCCCAGTTCTGACACAGAGTCTGACAGTAGGGCTGCAGGTGCCATTAATACCAGTAACAGCCCAGGCCAACAGAATGTTGACAGCAACAATAAACATTGTTTAGAAGTCTCAGGCAGTCGACATTGCGATGACAAACAACCCAAGAGACAAAGGGCTGAAGTCATGAAACCTGTAAGTTTTTTTATTGTCTCATGTTGCCTTTTCAAATCTGACCTTAAATTTGAGATTTGACCTTTACTTGACCTTCAGTGACCTTCGAAAGGTCAAAAATATTGATTTTCAAATTGATTTTTTATTATTCAAATGTTGGTCAGCTGAATCACAAAAGACCTACTGAGCTCTGAATAAGTAGAGTTTTCAAGGTCAGAGGTCATCAAACTGGCTGCCATATACAGGCTTTGGTGGTTCTTTTTTGACCAACCCTGTTTATGTCCTTGATAAGTTTTCAGCAAACTTTTGTACATAATAATTCACGTTTTAGATGTGGGAGGAGATGCCAGACCTGTATGGCTTGCGGAGATCTGCCAGGTCCAAACATTGTTTGGAAGTCTCAAGCAGAGGATCTCACAATGACAAATTACCCAAGAGACAAAGGATCAAAGACATGATATCTGTAAGTTCATTTTTATTTTGTTACCAAAAAGTGGTGACATATTGTTATGGTCTCTTCATTGACCATCTTTTTCAACTTGCTTCAAATTTACCGCATTTTTTTTCAAAATTATCTACAAGTTCTCTGAATTTCAAATCTGACCTCAGATTTGCCTAAATACCTTGTTAATGTCTGGTCTCATTTTGTCTCATCATCCAGCAAAAGTTCGTACATGATAATTCATGTTTAAGATGTGGGAGGAGATGCCAGACCTGTATGGCTTGCGGAGATCAGCAAGGTCTAGGGCAGAACCCGAAAGTTACAATGTCAACAGTAAGTCAGATTCCCAAAATTCAAGTAACAGCCCAGGCCAACAAAATGTTGACAGGAACGGTAAACATTGTTTAGAAGTGTCAAGCAGAGGCTCTCACGATGACAAATTACCCAAGAGACAAAGGATCGAAGACATAAAATCTGTGAGTTCATTTTATTTTTTCACCGTCACCCCCAAAAAGTGGTGACATACATTGTATTGTTATGGTCTTTTTTTGTGACGGTGGATGGTCGTGGGTGGTTGGCGGTTGGTGGTTGGTGATTGGCATTTGTAACAAATTCTTACAACTTCCAATAACTTCAAATATTGTTGAGACTGATTTCAATTTTTCTAAATTATCTACAAGTTTTCTGAAGTTCAAATCTGTATTAGTTCAAATCTGACTAGATTTGAGATTTTACCTTCAATGACCTTTTTTTCAACTTGTTTTAAATTTTCCACATTTTTTTAAAAGAATTATCTACAAGTTCTCTGAAGTTCAAATCTAACCTCAGATTTGCCTAAATACCTTGTTAATGTCTGATCTCATTTTGCCTCATCATCTAGCAAAATTTCGTACATGATAATTCATGTTTTAGATGTGGGAGGAGATGCCAGACCTGTATGGCTTGCGGAGATCTGCAAGATCAAGGGCAGAACCAGAAAGTAGCAAGGTCAACAGTAAGTCAGATTCCCAAAATTCAAGTAACACCCCAGGCCAACAAAATGTTGACAGCAACGATCAACATTGTGTAGAAGTCTCAAGCAGTGGATTTCATAATGACAAACGACCCGAGAGACGAAACGTCAAAGACATAAAATCTGTAAGTTCATTTTTATTATGTCACAACCAAAAAGTGGTGACATACTGTTATGGTCTCCATTTTAAAGGATTAGTCAGGGAATGGGTTCAGATATCGACTTTGAAAATATTCAAAATTGTAATGTCTGAAAAACCAACTCAATCACACAAATTATCAAACCTTGATATCCCATCCTTCTTCAAAGAATATTGATTTGTAACACAATTAATGAAGAATGTTGGAATCAAAGACATTGCATATCTTTATGCGAGAATTCAAAAAAAATTCAAGAGCAAATACTTAATGAACTATATTTATACAAAAAGTTCGAAACATATTATCCAAAACATTGCTTACTTTCTTTGTATAGACATTGAATGCTATATTTCTTGATGAGTGAATTTGCATTTAATTATCAAATATAACTAGGACAGTAATAAAAAGCATATTTCACAAACATTTAGTGAGGGACCAAAAGGGCATATATCTTGCCTTATCCTTTTGTAAGTTCATTTTATTATCATATGTCATGTTGCCTTTTCTATTTAAATAAATTGTTAGCAAAATTTCGTACTTAATAATTCATGTTTTAGATGTGGGAGGAGATGCCAGACCTGTATGGCTTGCGAAGATCTGCAAGATCAAGGGCAGAACCAGAGAGTAACAAGGTCAACAATAAGTCAGTTAGTGACAGCAATGAACATATTTTAGTACGGCAAAGCAATGAACCTATCTTAAGTAGCAGTTATTCCAGTAACACACCAGACAAACAGAGTACTGACAGCAATGATGAACCCATCTTATTGGTCCAAAGCAATGAACCTATCTTAAGTAGCAGTTATTCCAGTAACACACCAGACGAGCAGAGTACTGACAGCAATGATGAACCCATCTTATTGGTCCAAAGCAATGAACCTATCTTAAGTAGAAGCTATTCCAGTAACACACCAGACAAACAGAGTGCTGACAGCAATGATGAACCCATCTTATTGGTCCAAAGCAATGAACCTATCTTAAGTAGCAGTTATTCCAGTAACACACCAGACAAACAGAGTACTGACAGCAATGATGAACCCATCTTATTGGTCCAAAGCAATGAACCTATCTTAAGTAGCAGTTATTCCAGTAACACACCAGACAAACAGAGTGCTGACAGCAATGATGAACCCATCTTATTTGTCCAAAGCAATGAACCCATCTTATTGTATACATTTATGTGACGTCATAAACAGACAATGTATGTATAAATGCTGTTATATTTTGAAAAAGACTAAGGGATATTAGTCGAAAGTCTCAATAAATTAAAAATATTCTCTGAAGTAAAGAATTTGACTTGTTTCTGATATATACAAATATTTTTTGCTGAATCTTTTACTGTAAAGTTATACTGATTTCTGATTTGCCCCGAACTCTCCATTTTCCATTGGTTTACATGGGAATGACGATTTTCAAAAATTCATCATATTTATCATCAATTTTCGACCTTCATGATCGAATAAAATTGGGAAATTTGGAGGTATTGGAAATAAAGTCAAGTTACGTTTCCATCAATATTATAGGTTATTTCATCGCAGGTTAAGTAAAAACGTAAAGAGGCTCTAAAACGTAGTTCAATGGGGGAGCTAAGGTTGCCAAACTTATGGAGGGGAGTGTAAGCTACCTTTATATTAATCGTTTAAATGATTAGCTAACATTATTTTTTGTAACAAAAACAAAATGACTCTATAGCTATAGGTCTCACTAAAACTTACATAGTTACGCCTGAAATATGTATAAATATTATCAACTAACCATATTGAAGCATGAAATGCCGAACACTAACCGAACAGCCGAACACCGTGCACAAAAAATCGAGAGTATGACAATGTGTCACCACTTCAAATAACTGTTTTCACATTATATGAATTTACATTTCTTAATTTTACATTTACAAACCTTCAAATAATATATCCATTGTATGAATAACGATAAATATGAGTTGACAAATACGTTTAAAGGTTTTCTTTGCATTCTTTATTTGAAAACCGTTTTCTTTTGGAGGTGGCGCTGGTTTTCTCCACTTCGTTGACATATCCAACCCGAATGAGGCTAAACTTATCGGACATACTGATGTTGGCATGGAAACAATCGACTTGTCATTTTGTGGGGGTTATATCGCTGTGGTTGCACGAGCTAAATTCGCAAATATGAGAAGTAAGGTATTGATTTACGAACGATACAACGCAGAGAAGGACAATGTAACAAAGGTGAATGAAATTGAAGGTATGCTCTCTTTCCAGTGTATTTATGGTATTAGTAATGATAATTCATTTGTCTTTACCCAGACCCAGTTTTGCAATTCGAATGTTTTGATTTTAGCTCACGTGTAATGGTGTACCGCCAAGACAAATTACTGTAAAATAAAACAATCATTATCTGTACAAAACAAATGATTCAAAACTGACACAGAAGGATAAGAATCACATTGTCTTATCGATGCATATTAATCATGACATACTTAAGAACTAACAAAAATAAGTCAATGGCTTAATATAAACACTTGCAGTTGGGTTCCAGTCATCGAGCTACATTCAGTTCTTAAGTAATTGTCAGACGATATTGGTGTCCAATGAGGGTGAAGCCGGCAAGTCGTCTAATGGTACATTCTTTGACCCCGAAGGATCTGTGTCAATTATACGCTTTTCCACGAAAGATCTGTCTGGGAATTTCACCAACACAGAGATCGGCTTTACACAATACAATTCCAGGTAATACTCGGTGTTGGAACCTGGTGGTGTAACTATTGCCCTTTTGAGCGAGCATCGCTGAAAAATAAAGTCTACGGTAGGACAATAGTTACATAAAAAATAAGTTTACGACCAATCAAGGTCGTCTATTTCGAGATAGATAGACGTCCTTGGACCAATGGACTATTTACTTGTGTTCGTATTAAGCCCTTTTAGCCTAAGCTAATTCCATTTATAGATGGCAGTCATATGATAAAAATTCAGGAAATGATAACATAGAAGGTATGGGGATTCTCTAGATGTTTCATCCTTTTCTTTGATTCTTTGAAAAAATTATTTTTATTTTAAAAAATTCTTGGGCCATAGATCATGATAAGATTGTTATCTATTTAAAGACATCAAAGATATATCTTTTCCAACTGTTATATAACTGGAAAATGACTAATTGGTCAAGGGTCACTACAGGGCCATACATTACATGTGAATTAGTTAATCTACTTTCTTCTTAGTATTTCTTCTGAAAGTACAAAATATCTAACATCTATAATTACATTTTGTAGTATTCGTTAATAAAAATGTCTGGAGAAAAAACTTTCAATGATGTCAGATATAAGTGTAAGTTGGCACATTGGATCAGTTTCTGAGTCTGCAAATAAATTATTTGGGATTAGTTATAAAACTATGTCTGAATGTAAACTCTCAAATCCTGCATCAAATATCTGAATGATCTCTAACTATCTAGCTAACTTAACCTTTTATCCTGTATCAGTATGTGGACAATAGTAAACATTGTAATTCAAGCTGCACTTAAAACAAGCAGTATCTTACTGGTGGCTATATAAACTTATTGATCATTTTGGTGATTTAAGCTGACCAACATCAAGCCAAATATTTTAAACAAAATAGCCAATATTCATCTTTATTTTCCATTATTTATGTTGTTTTAAAAGACTAGAAAACTTCATACCAATGAAATATAAGATCTTAGCTAGAGATCTGTTGATTTTCTGAATGAATGAGGAAACAGAAATGGTAGCATTATGATGTTAAAATCATAGTATAAATCATTGTAAATGTGATGTTTTACATGTTGGTTCAATGGGGAACTGCTTTAGGCCTAAGATTCTTTTCCTGAAAATGGGCTAGACATCTATTGGCTGTTTATAGAGTATTTTCAACTATTTAGCAAGGCTAAACTCCTGTGGTGGCCAAAATTTATGGTAAAGATTAAAAGGTCGTTTGGATCGAGTGGATTGGATTCATGTTAAGGGTGGATTGGATCGGAAATCGTCAAAATATTGAATTATTTTAAGACTTTTTTCTATTGATCTCACTCTGTCTGATTAATTGATTAATTGGTGTTCTCCTCGACACGTCCACAATGTCAAATAACAGATGTAATATTATTTTGCTCAGGTGGTCTTGAGGGGTGACCTGGTACCTACTTTCTGATTAATAATCTTATTCATTTCAGGGTAATATTAGACAATTCATAAATCATAAGGCAGAATGCTTTGAAGAGCCATATTATCTGTTTTCAGTCCAAATAGAACATCTAGTAGATGGGAACATTAACACATCAATTTGAATGACAGATTTTATCAACACAGAATTATGTTTATTATGCCTTACAAAAGTCGATTAACAAGGGAAAGCAGTTGAATACTGCTATATCCATCAACTAATTATTTGTTCTGATTCCTCAAAGGGACCTAATTAGGTGATCACAAAATATTAAAGAAATTCCATATTTGGAGATTCACGATCCAATCCAACTTTTACATGAATCCTATCCACTCGATCAAATCCCCCTTTTAATCTTAAAAAGTGTGTGGGCCGGGTCAGAACAAAACAGAAAAAATGAATTTGACATGCTGTTTAAGCCTGCATTGTTGCATATTTTGCTTTGATAAAGGGAAGGGGATAGAAACTTAACATTAAATCATTCGGGAAGAACCGTAAACTAAAAATTCAAACGTAAAGAGGCTTTAACACGTAATTCAATGGGGGAGCTAAGGTTGCCAAACTTATGGAGGGGAGTGAGACTGTCGCTTCAATTAGATTTTCATGAACTGTATGTTTAATAGAGCACCTAGAGTAAATTCCTTTGGAACAACAATTAATCAAAGTGTCTTAATACTCATTGTACAGTTAATAATGTTCTACCATCGAAATAGAGTCTTTAATTTAACCGATCAAAATGAGATACGGGACAACGGACACTGTAATTACCATGCCGTTGTCTTTCTAAATTACTCAAATTCAGGTTCCGTTGTCATTGACGATATCGAAGACACTTTATTGTGGCGATTCACGACCCAATTTGATCGAAATGGGATTTCATATGATACATTATCGCCGCAAGAGCTTAATACATTTAATCAGCGACCATAAGATCCCATGAATTGAGGACCAAGTGATTAAACAGTTAAAGCGACGGTTATGTCCGCCATTTGTGACAACGGTATCTGACTTTACCGTAGTCATGCTATTCCGGTGTGAATGGTAGACACCATATTTGTCAGCTCGTGGAAAACGTGCACATAAATACGTTACTTTCTGCTTCATATGAGTAAGTTAGTTAAGTAAGTTAGATAATTGGCATAGGGTTTGAAGGATCGTCGAATAGTACGTGATCAAACATAATTTAATTTCCTTTTTCCTTTTTCAAAAATAATTCAATTACCTGCCTCGCACATGCTCGTACGCCTCGAATTTAACATTACGAGACTCGCAGATACAGGCTTCAAATTTTTAAGTACGGGCTTCGTACTTGCTTGTACGGGCCTAGAAAACGACCCCCGGGCCCGAACGAGCAGTGCGCTCCATTTTGCCCGTAACGACTCGTAATTTTCGAGCTTCTGTATTCGGGGCCTGATATAATACGCCTGTGTATATATCCCAGTAGCCAGGCATGAGCCTCATCAAGTATTACATAGATACACGGGGAAGTCTACCCGCTTCTACACAATCTACCGCCGAGTAAGACACGCTTAAACCGCCAATCTTTACGGGCGTAATTAACGCTTTGACGGGCGTAATTATCGCCTACACAGGCGCAATTAACGCCTACACGGGCGTAAATTACGTCTGCACGGGCGTAATTTCACGTCTACACGGGCATAATTAACGCCTACACACCCGTAAACTACACGTGGATACTTTGGTTAGGTTGGCTCACCATATTTAACGCCGTAAGTTCACGCCTGTAAATGTATTCTGAACGCCCGTAGAATTTACTTCTTCACGGGCTTAATTTACGCCTACACAGGCGTAATTTTTCGTCTGCACGGGCGTAATTTTACATCTGCACGAGCGTAATATAACGCCTACACACCCGTTAACTACACGTGCATTCTTTGGGCGGGTAAGCTAACCATAGTATATAGCCATAGGCGGATAGACTTTCTCCCCGTGTAGATACTTTTCTGAGACGACGTTTCTCCAAATAAAACTGTGCCAATGAAGTGCAAAAGTGGATGTATATAAATTGTTTCGCCTAAATGCCTCATCTATCTATTGGGTTTTGATCAATTGCAATGTCGCCAATTTCAAGTTCGCAGGCCCGTAGCCAGGATTTGCCAAGGGGGGTTCACTTTTTAAAAAATTCCTTACAAGGGGGTTCACTTGTGACAATTTTAGTCCAAAGTGGCTTGAATCACTTAAAAAAGTGCTCTAAATGGTGAAAAACTGCATGCTTTTGAAAGAATTTTTGGCCAGGGAGAGGGGTGGGGTTCGCTCGAACCCATGGCACCCCCTGGCTACCGGCCTGGTTCGCAGCATCGGCCACAAAATCTAAACGTCCTTTCTTTACCCTCCGACTCCTAATTTTGCGACAAAGTCCACGTTTTTAAATGAATCTGAACAGTGTTAACGATCATTTTGGTTGGAATATTACTCCTTCATGTGGACGTATATTGACAAGGTTCTGCCCTGGTGCAGCCCATTTTTGGAATTATTAATCAGATAACTACAGTCACATAAAACATATTTATACAGCGTGTATCCATCACGGTCCCGGGACTTGGATACACCTAGATACACCTAGACCTAGATACACTATTTGGCTATATATTCCCGCTCGTTATGTACCTACAGTAGAACCTCAGTAGGTATGGAATACATATATATCTCCCACTCACCTCAGATATCAATTATATTCCCGCATGTTATTTACTTATAACACTATTAAGTATGGGATTAAATTGAATATTCGCCATTCTATTTCTATTCATTATTTTTGCAACCACATTTGGTGTGTTATTACTGAACACTGGCACCTTATTGTCTGATTCACAGTATTATAAATATTACTTAATATAAAACTATATTTTTAGGTGGAATGAATTTGTTGCAAAGGGGGTTAGATATGTGTTCCGGAACAGCACTTTTTCCCAAGATCTCGAGCCAGAATTCATGGCCATTAACTCGGACGAGACTATTGCATATGTCAGCCTGCAGGAAAACAACGCCATAGCTGTACTCAATATATCGGCTAATGCCATAGAAGGTATCCATGGTCTTGGCAGAAAGGACTGGTCCAAATCAAGGTTTGATGCTAGTGATAAAGATGGAGGTAATTTTACACAAGATACGCACTTCACAATTTCTTTTTCTTCACACTCCCTTTATGAAGGTCTCTCTACTCCCAATAGTCTGATCAAAGTGATTTCTGCATCTATCATATGTCCGTATGTCATGGTTTGGCTAGTCTTGCATCAAGTCTCTGGTAACCCTACCAGAGACGTTGTCTTCCCCTGGCCTATGCGTAATGCTTTCCATAATATGAATTTGTTCACTTAGGGATAAACATGCAGCCATGGGCGGTTTATGGACTATACCAACCGGACAATATAAGACTTATGCAGTTTAAAGGAGAAGACTATATTGTAACAGCAAATGAAGGTGACAAGAAGTCATACAAAATGGACGATGATGGGATAGATTGGAGTGAAAGCACTCGCGCAAAAAAGATTGCTAAGGGTGAGTGCCAAGTAGCTTCTGTGGCGAATAGGTAGTAGCCTTTGTAGCGAATAGGTAGAACCCTATGTAGCAAATAGGTAGCAACTTTTGTGGCGAATAGGTAGAAGCATTTTTTTATGTTATCGATTTATTTCAAATAATAACATAGATGTACAAAGTTAGCTGATTGCCAAAGTTTTGCAACATTAGCGGCAATTAAATAATATAACATAAATGAAATAATAGATATAATATAAAATACAAAAGGTTTACATATATTCTTAATTCCAAATCACTGAATCAAGGAAATCCCATGGGCGGGGATGATGACAAAAAGGAAAGAGCAGAAAAATGAAGAAACGGAACCTGTTGTCACAGACGTGATATGATAGTGAAACTCGTGTATATATAATAACTAACAATATGAATTAATTCTTCATTTGTTGATGCATCTAAATCATCTTTTCCAAAAAGTAAAAATTGTAATTTATCATTCAAATTGTAGCTGTTAAACAGGTTTCCTAAATTGTAAGTATGAAGGCCTGCAATGAGGTTGATTCTTTCATCATGGAGCAGTGGGCAATTTAAAAGAAAATGCAGGGTAGTCAATGGAACACCACATTTACACAAAGGGTCACTAATGTCATTAAAGTTATGTGCATAAATGTGTGCTTTAAGTAAAAGGCCACACCTGAGTCTATTAAAAGGTATTTCAATATGTCTGGGTAAGGTCACATTCAATTTAGAAGTTGGAATTAAAGAGACTGGGCTCTTTTGTTCTCTTACTAATCTTTTAAACCTAGAAATAGGTTGACCCATTCTAGTATCTGATGGCAAATTATTCCATAAAGTTATAGATTGGAAGATGGTAGTTTTTTTAAAAGAGAAGCTAAGGCGAGTTGGGAGAACATAATCTCTTTGATGTCTTAAGGGGCGGATCGGTATATGTTCATATTTCCGAAGTAAGTCACAAATAAATGGAGGATTAATGTTATACCTGCATTTAAAAGTAAACATGTTTAAGTGCTCAATTCTTCTGGTTGTTAGCTGTTTCCAGTTCAAAGAGTTTAAAACTTTGATAGTATTGGAACCATGTATAGCCCCAGAAACTGAAGCATTTGTAGCGAATAGGTAGTAGCCTTTGTAGCGAATAGGTAGTAGCCTTTGTAGCAAAAAGGTAGTAGCCTTTGTAGCCAATAGGTTGTAGCCTATGTAGCGAATAGGTAGAAGTATTTGTTGAGAATAGGTAGTAGCCTTTGTAGCCCATAGGTTATAGCCTATACAGCGAATAGGTAGAAGCATTTGTAGCGAATAGGTAGTAGCTTTTGTAGCGAATAGGTAGTAGCCTATGTAGCGAATAGGTAGAGTCCTTTGTAGCGAATATGTAGTAGCTTTTGTAGCGAATAGGTAGTAGCCTTTGTAGCGAATAGGTAGTAGCCTATGAAGCAAATAGGTAGAGTCCTTTGTAGCGAATATGTAGTAGCTTTTGTAGCGAATAGGTAGTAGCCTATGTAGCGAATATGTAGAGTCCTTTGTAGCGAATAGGTAGTAGCTTTTGTAGCGAATAGGTTGTAGCCTTTGTAGCGAATAGGTAGAGTCCTTTGTAGCGAATAGGTAGTAGCTTCTGTAGCGAATAGGTAGTCGCCTATATAGCGAATAGGTAGAGTCCTTTGTAACGAATAGTTAGTAGCTTTTGTAGCGAATAGGTTGTAGCCTTTGTAGCGAATAGGTATAGTTCTTTGGAGCGAATAGCTAGTAAATTTGTAGCGAATAGGTAGTAGCCTTTGTAGCGAATAGGTAGTAGCCTATGTAGCAAATATGTAGAGTCCTTTGTAGCGAAAAGGTAGAGTCCTTTGTAGCGAATAGGTAGTAGCCTTTGTAGCGAATTGGCAGTAGCCTATTTAGCGAATATGTAGAGTTCTTTGTAGCGAATAGGTAGTAGCTTTTGTAGCGAATAGGTTGTAGCCTTTGAAGCGAATAAGTAGAGTCCTTTGTAGTGAATAGGTAGCAGCCTTTGTAGCGAATAGGTAGTAGCCTCTGTATCAAATAGGTAGTAGCATTTGGAGCGAATACGTAGCAGCCTTTGTAGCGAATAGGTTGTAGCCTTTGTAGCGAATTAGGTAGTAGCATTTGTAGCGCATAGGTAGTGGCCTATGTAGCAAATAGGTAGCAACTTTTGTGGCGAATAGGTAGAAGCATTTTTAGCGAATAGGTAGTAGCCTTTGTAGCGAATAGGTAGTAGCCTATGTAGCAAATAGGTAGCAACTTTTGTGGCGAATAGGTAAAAGCATTTTTAGCGAATAGGTAGTAGCCTTTGTAGCGAATAGGTAGTAGCTTATGTAGCAAATAGGTAGCAACTTTTGTGGCGAATAGGTAAAAGGATTTGTAGCGAATATGTAGTGGCCTTTGTAGCGAATAGGTAGTAGCCTATGTATCAAATAGGTAGCAACTTTTGTGGCGAATAGGTAGAAGCATTTGTAGCAAATATGTAGTGGCCTTTGTAGCGAATAGATAGTAGCCTATGTAGCAAATAGGTAGAAACTTTTGTGGCGAATAAGTAGAAGCATTTGTAGCGAATAGGTAGCAGCCTTTGTAGCGCATAGGTAGTAGCCTTTGTAGCGAATAGGTTGTAGCCTTTGTAGCGAAAAGGTAGTAGCCTTTGTAGCCAATAGGTTGTAGCCTATGTGGCGAATAGGTAGAAGCATTTGTAGCGAATAGGTAGTAGCCTTGCAGCCAATAGGTAGTAGCCTTTGTAGCGAATAGGTAGTGGCCTTTGTAGCGAATGGGTAGAAGCATTTGTAGCGAATAGGTAGCAGCCTTTGTAGCGAATAGGTTGTAGCCTTTGTAGCGAATAGGTAGTAGCATTTGTAGCGAATAAGTAGCAGCCTTTGAAGCGAATAGAAAGTAGCCTTTTTAGCGAATAGGTAGTAGCCTTTGTAGCGAATAGGCTGGAGCCTTTGTAGCGAATAAGTAGTAGCCTATGTAGCAAATAGGTAGTAGCCTTTGTAGCAAATAGGTAGAAGCCTTTGTAACGAATAGGTAGTAGCCTTTGTAGCGAATAGATAGTAGCCTTTGTAGCAAATAGGTAGTAGCCTTTGTAACGAATAGGTAGTAGCCTTTGTAGCGAATAGGTAGTAGCCTTTGTAGCGAATAGGTAGTAGCCTTTGTAACGAATAGGTAGTAGCCTTTGTAACGAATAGGTAGTAGCCTTTGTAGCGAATAGGTAGTAGCCTTTGTAGCGAATAGGTAAGGATGATTTGCAGCCCAACATGAGAAATGGGACATTGGTAGCTTTGTCTTTTTCAGAATCAACGCATGAATTATCTAATGAAAACAATGTAAGTTTTTAAACTAATGTATGTTCTTTCAATTTGAAGGTTAGATAGAATATGAATGACTGTGAATGGAGGATACTAATAATTTATAAAATTGATTATAGATCTTGATGGCAGTAGAGGCGAAGCATTCCGTGAAGCAATGACAGATGACAAGAAACTAGGTAATCAGATAATTCAAATTCATTCTTCCAGACAAAATGAAGACGTCTTTTAAGTAGTATTTACATTAAGAAGCTAAATTAGAAATTAGGTGATAAACTATATTGAAACCGAATTTGAGAAATAGTCAATGCCTTACAATTCACAGGGCGCCTGACTGTAAGCAGTATAGACGGCAAAAATGGAACTAATAAATACAAGGACATTTATACTTACGGAGGCAGAAGCTTTTCAATTTTCAAAATGGTGGACTTGTCTCTAATTTATGACAGTGACGACAATATTGAACAGCAGCATGCTAATTCCTCTCTGTATGGAAGATTATTTAATTGTGATAATTATGAAGCTTCCAAAACTCCCGTTGAAACATTTGACAAACGATCTGACAATGCGGTAAGTACTGTAGTTTTACTGTTTTAAATAGAATTAAGACAGGCCGGTTTGTATAGGAAAATCATATTTTCAAATTCATCGTAAATCAATGTGTGGTACATCATATCATTCAATGTGCTACAAGCATATATACTGTATAATATATATAATACACTATGTTGGTAAAGTAAACATGGACGCGAATTAAATTCGCTAAAACTTATAATTATGATAGGTGTAACTCATGATAGGTAACTCATTGTAGGTGTCTTTGAAACTCGGAGAATAAACATGTGTACTAAATAAAAGTCTTTTCTCAGGGTCCCGACACAGAATCAGCAGAGGTAGCTACCGTTGGGGACACGGTCTATATATTCATAGGAAATGAGAGAACCTCCAGCATCATGATATACTCTGTCTCGGGTGATAGCATAGAGCCAAAGTTTGAGGGGATTCATCGTGCGGGAGGCCAGGAAACAAAATACGATATGCTCTATTCACAGAGGAATACCGGGGACCTGGACCCAGAAGGATTGAAGTATGTCGACATTATTTTGAATGTGCTACAATCAAATATGCATATGTGATGAGGCAATGTCTTGATTTAAAACATGGGCTTTCAACTAGAATTGAAAGCCCATGTTTTCAGGGGCGTAGGAAGGTGTAAATTCAACACTACGCCAAAAAATCCCGCCAAAACTATGAAACAATTGTGTCAAATATTCTATATTAAAACGCCTATTTTATGCTCGTTAAACGTCATTTTATGGCAATAGAATGCAATGTTTTCATAACCTAAATGTGAACGGAAATGTTTAAGCGATGCATTTGTATGGGCGATTGGTCATACGTATAGGTTGGCGTTTCGATTTTTTATGCAAGCTTAAAATCCTTGATGCCCCTTTTAATGTGCTTAAAATGTTCGAATGATTTTCATCATTTGAAATCGCCATGGAAAATCACAAATCATTCTCACTTTTCTTATGTCTCGAACGATATAGACGATCAATTTCCAAATAACAATGAGAGATTTTTAATCATTTTCGAATAATTAAATTGAGATATATAGTATTGTCTGATTCCATCGTGTACCGTGCAATACGACACGTACAGATTAAAGAATCTAGCTTGATCAATTGATTTAGAGAAACGCATTCGTGATCAATGAAACAATTAACCCTAATGTCTGCAACCTTTTTTATAACACTAATTCGCAAGGCCAAATTAACTTCCCACCACAAAGGTCAAATCGAGGTCAACGTGACTTAGGGGGTGCCAAAAATATTATATTTCCTAAAACAATAATCTATTATCTTTCAAATGAAATAAAAATCTAGGTAATAGCTTTTCTAGACCTGAAATCGATGGAACGCGTATTTGAGTAATCAACATTTTCAAGTTGTTTTTGTCTTTAACATTCATATTTCAAGAAGTACTACCAATAACAATTGGTGATTTAGTAAGAAAATAGATAATTGCTGACTTAACTATAATTTCTGTCTATGATTTTGCCTAGCAACGGAATATAAATCGATATTGTGAAATTGAAAAATTGGGGGTAGGGGAGAATAAAAAAAATATACATCTCAATTAAAGAGGCTTATCATTATAATTAAACGAGACCACAGTTTGATTGCATAAGCATTACAGAACATGCGCAAAAAATTGCAAAGGTATTCATCAAGTAGAAACAAGTCAAATTCTTTACTTCAGAGAATATTTTTAATTTATTGAGACTTTCGACTAATATCCCTTAGTCTTTTTCAAAATATAACAGCATGTATACATTTATGTGACGTCATAAACAGACAATGGAAAATTTAATTATGTAACAAATGACCTAGTAACCTAAAAAATAACAACAACAAAAAAACATAGAAACGAAAAAACGAATGACCTAATAATAACCTTAAGATAAATATATCATCGTTATGGTAACAATTAAACTCAAATATTATTATTGCATACTTTGCTATACCATTCTTAATTTACAATATTTTATGATACAAATTGTCCAACTGATACCCATTATCTCTGTTCATTTTAGGTTGCATTGTTTTAATATGAATTGCTTCCTTAACCCTACGTTTAAGATCATGACTCTCATTATCAATGATTTTTACATTGTTCCAGTTTATATTATGATCATATTCCATGGAATTTTCAATAACCGCAGAAGCAAGACCTCCAGTCGACAGTAATGTGGGTCTACGATGTTCTCTGATTCTAGTAACTAGTTCCCGCTTTGTTTCACCTACATAAGTGGCAATACAGTCTTTACAATCAATTTTGTAAATTACACCGGACTTCTTTTGATCATTAGTTTTGTCCTTTAAATGCACCAACTGTTTCTTGATAGTATTCTGCGATGAGAAACATACTCGGACACGATGCCTTTTAAAAATACGCCGTAACTGGTTGGAAATACTAGGGATATACGGAAGAACTGCAGTACACCTTATATCGTCATCATTTCTTGTTCTGTTTACATTATTTGTCGCATGTCTTTCACCTTCTTTAATCAGCCATTCCGGGTACCCACACTCCTTTAATGATCGGCAAACCAGTTCCTTTTCTTTCTTTAGATCTTCCTCTTTAGTTACCAATGTTTCTGCCCTCCTAAAGAGGGATTTGACAACTCCTCTTTTAGTATCAAGAGAATGATTTGATTGGAAATCAAAAGAAGTCCGGTGTAATTTACAAAATTGATTGTAAAGACTGTATTGCCACTTATGTAGGTGAAACAAAGCGGGAACTAGTTACTAGAATCAGAGAACATCGTAGACCCACATTACTGTCGACTTGAGGTCTTGCTTCTGCGGTTATTGAACATTCCATGGAATATGATCATAATATAAACTGGAACAATGTAAAAATCATTGATAATGAGAGTCATGATCTTAAACGTAGGGTTAAGGAAGCAATTCATATTAAAACAATGCAACCTAAAATGAACAGAGATAATGGGTATCAGTTGGACAATTTGTATCATAAAATATTGTAAATTAAGAATGGTATAGCAAAGTATGCAATAATAATATTTGAGTTTAATTGTTACCATAACGATGATATATTTATCTTAAGGTTATTATTAGGTCATTCGTTTTTTCGTTTCTATGTTTTTTTGTTGTTGTTATTTTTTAGGTTACTAGGTCATTTGTTACATAATTAAATTTTCCATTGTCTGTTTATGACGTCACATAAATGTATACATGCTGTTATATTTTGAAAAAGACTAAGGGATATTAGTCGAAAGTCTCAATAAATTAAAAATATTCTCTGAAGTAAAGAATTTGACTTGTTTCTGATATATTAACCAGAGTGATGAACTTACATAGAACTATTCATCAAGTAGTTTTTGAAAAAAACTGTTTTTTCTCAAATTCGTGAAGAGAACGCGAATCACGAATATTTGGCGAAATTGTATTTTAGTTTTAAAATCCATAAGATAGTCAATAGTGGCTCGATTATCATGAAATAAAGCATGTTACTTTTTGCATTTTCTAGGATTAGAATTATAGAAACAAGGTAACTTTCAATATTTTATTTTTCAAAAAGTGTTATTTATCTGTGGCCCAGATTAGAAAAATAACAGAGGCACAAAAACATGCAAAAGAGTACTATTGAAAAAACGAGCATATCATATGGTATCCACAAAACATTTCTTTAGGCTAGTGTGCTCGAGATTACTTTTGGACAATACAATGAGAAAATATGAACAAAGAACATAGGAAAATTAATAAGCCTTTTTATTCTCACTTTTCAACACTACGCACTGGCGTTTTGGCGTACATTGTTCCTACGCCACTGGTTTTAAACTTACATACGAGAAAGCACTGGGACAACATTGATCTTATACGAATTGTATTTTAATAATTCAAAAGATAGTTATTTTTATCTACAGTTGTTTATATCTAAATATGACATGGAATCCTAACTATGCTAGATTTGTGAGAATAATCGTTTAGGTTATAATTAATAGGTTTGTACAGGCGAGTGAAAGTCCAAATGGGAAGCCTCTTCTACTTGTTGTAGGGAGTCAGTCCTCGACGCTCTCTGTCTACGAGGTTGAGTTTTTCTCCTCTGGTAAGGATAAGCTTTGTTTTCCCTTCAATAGCTGGTTATACATGCATAACCCACACAAGATACTGCACTTATTAAGGGAGCACGAATTGACACATTTGGTCAAAATTGTTCGATCCCTCTTGCCCTCATTGACTGTATACACTTGCTGAGATCAGTTATATTCAATATCACCAAATGCCAGGGGCAAATGGTGAATAACATTGAACAAACTAGTGGATTGTTCTGGGTGTTTTAAATTATTTTTTCTATTATTGCAGTCCCAACGTCGCCACCCACATGTCCACCACTAGGAGACCGATCAACGCCTACTTCAAGGAGCTCATGTTTGAATCAGCTAAATTTGATCCTGATGGTTTCTATGGTTGCCACTCTGACATTTTCATTTGTCGGCAAATAATAAGAAATTATTTGTTTTCAACGAAACAATAATTATGTCGAAGGATCAGAATAACAATTTCATAGCTTCGGAGTTCAGATGAATAACTTCATTTAAAAGTATTGTTTTTTGGCAAGGAATCACAGGAGATGACACATACGAGTACATGTAAATCACGATAAATAGAAAATACATGTATAAAGAAGTAGTTATAATTCATGATAAACCATCTATACTAGCAATTGAAAATATGATTTAACATTCTGGTTTGTTGAAAGAGTGTACTGCAATGTCGAGCTCTGAGCCAGGCAGAAATGCATCATGAAAGAAAGAAACATTACGCTTATTAAGAGAAACATGAGATGATGTTATGAGTATATCAGAATGGCAGATATGTCGAGGACTTTCATACCTCGTCGGCGAATGAGTTGCACGACATCTTATATCATTGTAAAACTCTTTTGCGACCAACACATTAAAAATCATTTTGAAAGAAGAAGAGTATTTGTTAGTGACCCGGACGCAAAATATAAAAAGGAAGAGCAAACGCTATGTTTGAATGTCAGACACGTGCACTGAAGAAGCGTACTGTCTACTTAGGAATAAAGAGTAACGAGATCGCATTACTTCTTCAGGGGATTGAAACACGTAGATTATTTTTGACTGACACAGTGAGCCTATGGGATCGATTAGGTGTCTGTCCGTTAAACCTGGTCGAATACAACCGTAATTATCCCACCGAACAAAGTCCGTAGGGATAAAGAGAAGCCACTCGTCCTTTCGTTTGTTCGTCCGTCCGTCCGCCTGTTTGTTTGTCCGGGCGATAACTCAAACACCGTTTGACGGATTTACTTCAAATGTGATATGCAAATGCCTTATAAGCGAAGAACCTCTGCTCAAGGTGGATTTTTTTAATATGGCCGCTCAATTAAAAATGGCCGCTATTTTTCGTAAAAATGTAGTCTTAGATAACTCAAATACCAGCTGGCGGATTTGGTTCAAATTTAATATACTGATGCCTGACCGGGGCTTTGCTAAAGAAGAGATTTTCAAGATAGTCGCTGAATTTCAAAGTGGCCGCCATTTTTCGTAAAAAACTTAATGATAACTTATTAGATACCAGTGGACGGATTTGGTTCAAATTTCATCTGGCGATGCCTAGGGACGAAGGATCTCTGCTTAAGAAGGAATTTTCAAGATGACAGCTGAATTTTTAAAATGGCCGCCATTTTTCTTAAGAACGTAATCTTTGACAACTCAAATACCAGTGAACGGATTTGGTTCAAATTTTATATGCTGATGCTTAGAGATAAAGGACCTCTGATCAGGAGTCAATTTTAAGATGGCTATTAATCGCTATTAATCAAAATGGCCGCCATTTCCGTTAGAATTGTAATCTTTGATAACCTAATCACCAGTTTGGTTCAAATTTTATATACTGATGTTTAAGGACAAAGGAGCTCTGCTCAAGAAGAATTTTTTAAGATTGCATCGACTTTCAAAATGACCACCATTTTTCGTAGGAAACATAATCTTTGATATTTCAAATAGCAGTGGACGGATTTGCTGAGCATGAGCAACTACTACAACAACCCATTTTTGAATGAAAATAGCGGCTGTCCGATTGTACTCGACGAAATGATAGAACCGTTTCTTCCCTCTGATCTTAGATGGCTGTTTTTATTTTTTGATTTGTTACATCAATTGTTTATCCTAAAGATTGTTTGTAAATGTAATATTTCTAAATAATTTATAATATTTCTAAATAATATTTCTTGTATATGTTTGTAAAACCCATGCAGAAAACTTAGCAAAACATACTGATTCTTGTGTAGCAAAGAGTTAGTATTAATTATGGAAAGGAATTTAGCACAAGCTATCTATCTGTAAGAATTTCATTTCTTTTTATAGCATTTAACAATATTTTATTCCATAGTATAAAAGTAATTTTTGAATATTTCATTTAGTTTATCCATGGGCTTTCAGAAAGCCCATAGTTTATTTCATATTATTAAGATATAATATTACAAAGGAACTCAAGCATAACAGAAGAATTTGTATTTTCTGGAACAGATATACAGTACATAAGCCAGAATAAGTTGGTAAACAACATTTCGCTTTAAAAACAACAAATCATAGGGTCATTAATTATACTTATTGTGACAGTAACATGTAAAGCAATTTGCAGAGAACCCGAAAGCAATGATTAATGGTATTATTGCCTTCAATAAATGTCTCATATCTCTCAAAAGTCAGTCCCTTTGTTCTATTTGCAATTTAACGATTTGGAAATGACGTATAGGTTTTGAAGTGAAACACATCAGAGTCTACTGTTAGAGAACAGAGGGTAATACGTTATCATTCGGACATTACACATGCATTGTGAACTTCAGGTGTTTTTTCAGAATGTGTCTAGAATATATAAAAGCATTTAAACATTATGTTCTCTGGAGTTATATTGTTACAGCGATTGGTTTAGGAAGTTTTCAGTTGGCATCGATTTCTGCACAAGAAGCGAGCCATGTAACCACCGATGACGTCGATCGTCTACTTCCGCAAAATGATACTGTTACGATACCAGGTGAATTTACTACTACGCTAGTTGATAATTATACGATACCAGGTGATACAATTATTACACCAAATGATAAAGCTACGATAATAGAGGTGGCAGCTACGACACCAGGTGATACATATACGATGCCAGTTGATATATCTACGATGCCAGTTGACACATCTACGATACCAGGTAATACATCTACGATTCCAGCTGATACACTATTGATACCAAATGATACAACCACGGCACTGGGTGACATATCTACGATTCCAGACAATGCAACTACGATACTAAATGATAAAACAGAACCCAAATCACATGATCAGACCAAGGCGAATATTACAAGTTCCAAAATTAGTCCGGATATCGAAAATGAAAGATATGGAACCACGACCAAACCCTACTCTGCTCTAACAAAAACTACTTCGGTGTATGTTTCAGATAGTTTCACTTTAGGATCGACAAATGAGTATCAAGCGCCAATTTCAGATGCTGCATTGTGTTTTTTTAAATGGACACACACATCAAATACCTGCAATTGTAATAGTGTAGGAATACTATCAGTACCGAGTAATATACCAACAAATACAACGCATCTGTTCCTAGAAAATAACAGCATCCAATATCTTAAAGACTTCACGTTTAGAGGTTTGAGAAGACTAGAGGTATTAAGTTTGAACAACAACCCGGGACTGGAGTATATTGAAAACAATGCGTTTGAAGGAATTTATTCTCTCACGGAGTTGTATCTTTCTAACATCGGCTTGACAAATGTCGGAAACTTTCTAAGTGGAAAGGGAGAGGATCTCATCCAGCTAGAGATAGTTGATATGTCGCACAACAAAATAAACAAGATCCAAAAATACGCCTTCCACGAAATGGTAGCTATAAATTTTTTAGACCTAAGCTATAATGATATTGAGGCATTGTCCATTTATTTTAACTTCGTTGGTCTGTCTGGACTTGTTCGTTTGAACATGGCGCATAATCCGAGACTGCATGAAATAGGGGGAAGGTCATTGGTTGGAATGTCGGCCATAAGACATCTTGACTTTAGTTTTTCTAATTTGACCCAGCTCGTTGATGAAGAACTCTGGGGTCTTAAATCTTTGGAGTATTTAGACTTAAGTTATACCCCAATGAGATTGTTAACAAATCGAGCTCTCTCATGGTTAACAAGAATTAAGGTTATTGATCTATCTCACTCTAAAATCAGGAGTATAAAAGAAACATTCAAGGGGCTAAATATCAATTCCATTGACCTCAGCAACAATTTACTACGCCTTATCCATAACGATGCTTTCAAAGAATGTCCTCATCTTACTTCCATATCCCTCCGCGGTAACACACTTGGGACTTTCCCCAGAGCTCTCTGTCAGGTGAAGAACATTGAAGAACTCGATCTATCCTCAAATGTCATACGAACTATGGGTGCTGATGACGTCCTTTGCATCATGGAAATACGCCTGTTCAACGGTGAGGGGAATCCATTCACATGTAACAAAGATATAGTTGAGTTTGCGATACACATGCATGCATCTGGTTCTAGAAACGGCTGGCCGGAGGAATATAAATGCTACGAGCCCTACAGATGGCGGAATAAAACCATTGAGAATTATGTCAACACCATTTGGGAAATACTAACGACCACTCGTGCAACAATTCCAACAACCAACTCGCCTACAAAGCATGTACCTAATAACATTAGAAATACACATATTCCTCGTGATGAAAACGATAAAGCGACTGATCAATCTAAAGAGTTCGGTACGACGAACCTAATAATAACTTCAGTGGTGGTAGTACTAGTATTGTTAGTATTTGTTGTGACGCTCACTCTAGTGTGTGTCATGAAGAGACTCAACCGATACGCACCAACTGACAACAATGATCCAAACAGTGAATACAACAATACAACATGTGATGAAGAACTTGGCACTGTCAAGTCTGGGGAATTGAATTTGAATGAAATGGGAACAAGGACACATTCACAAGATCAAAAAGTAAACAACCATATTGGAATTACAAAGGGAATCGAAGTCTATCATAAGATTGAAGACAGTAAAAAGAAAAGACACAGTAGCAAGAACAAGATTCGTTATAAATCTCCACAAAGAAAACATAAAATGCGAAAAGAGAAAACATTGATCAAAAGGTCGACCAATGAGGATCCTCCTAAAGATAGCATGAAACCATATGAACACAGACATAAAACACACGTTTACGTTGTAACATCCCCAAATATACAAACCCAGATATAAAACGTATGTTCATGTTGTAGCATCCCCAACTATATAAACACAGAAATAAAACACATGTTAACGTTGTAACATCCCCAACTATACAAACACAGACATTCAACATATGTGTACGTTGTAACATCCCCAACTATACAAACACAGACATAAAACACATATTTACCTTATAACATCCCAAACTATACAAACACAGACATAAAATTTATGATTATATTGTAACATCCCAAACACAGACATAAAACATACGTTTACATTGTAACATCCCAAACTATACACACACAAACATAAAACACACAGGTTTATGTTGTAACATCCCCAACTATAAAAACACAGACGTGGAACACACGTTTACGTCTTAACATCCCCAACTATACAAACCCAGATATAAAACGTATGTTCATGTTGTAGCATCCCCAAATATTCAAACACAGAAATAAAACACATGTTTACGTTGTAACATCCCCAACTATCAAACACAGACATGAAACACATGTTGATGTTGTAAAATCCCCAACTATACAAACTCAGACATGAAACACACATGTTATGTTGTAAAATCCCCAACTATACAAACACAGACATGAAACACATGTTGATGTTGTAACACACCCAACTATACAAACACAGACATGAGACACACATGTTTATGTTGTATCATCCCCAACTATACAAAATCAGATATGAAACGTATGTTTATGTTGTATCATCCTCAACTATACAAACACAGAATAAAACACATGTTTACGCAGTAACACACCCAACTATACAAACACAGACGTGGAACACATGTTTACGTTGTAAAATCACCAACTATAAAAACACAGACGTGGAACACATGTTTATGTTGTAACATCCCCAACTATACAAACACAGAAATAAAACAAATGTTTACGTTATAACATCCCTAACATCCCAACCATACAAACACAGGCATAAAACGTATGTTCATGTTGTTGCATCCCCAACTATACAAACACAGAAATAAAACACATGTTTATGTTGTAACATCCCCAACTATACAAAAACGGACATAAAACGTATGTTTACGTTGTAACACACCAAACTATACAAACACAGACATGGAACACATTTTTTATGTTGTAACATCCCAAACACAGACACAAAACACACGTTTACGTTGTAACATCAACAACTATACAAACACAGACATGTGACACATGTTGATGTTGTAACACACCCAACTATACAAACACAGACATAAAACACATGTCTACGTTGTGAAATCCCCAACTATACAAACTTAGACATGAAACACACATGTTGATGTTGTAACACACCCACCTATACAAACACAGACATAAAACACATGTCTACGTTGTAGAATCCCCAACTATACAAACTCAGACATAAAACACACATGTTTATGTTGTAACATCCCCAACTATACAAAAACCGACATAAAACGTATGTTTACGTTGTAACACACCAAACTATACAAACACAGACATGGAACAAATTTTTTATGTTGTACCATCCCAAACACAGACACAAAACACACGTTTACGTTGTAACATCAACAACTATGCAAACACAGACATGTGACACATGTTGATGTTGTAACACACCCAACTATACAAACACAGACATAAAACACATGTTTACGTTGTAAAATCCCCAACTATACAAACTCAGACATGAAACACGCATGTTTATGTTGTAACATCCCAAATAATACAAAATCAGACATAAAACACCTGTTTATGTTGTATCATCCCCAACTATACAAACACAGACATGAGACACACATGTTTATGTTGTAACATCCCAAGTAATACAAAATCAGACATAAAACACATGTTTATGTTGTATCATCCCCAACTATTCAAACATAGACATGAAACACACATGTTTATGTTGTAACATCTCAAATAATACAAAATCAGACATAAAACACATGTTTATGTTGTATCATCCCCAACTATACAAACACAGACATGAGACACACATGTTTATGTTGCAACATCCCCAACTATACAAACACAGACATGAAACACATGTTGATATTGTAACATTCCAAACACAGAAATAAAGCACATGTTTACGTTGTAACATCCCCAACTATACAAAAAGCGACATAAAACTTATGTTTACGTTGTAACACACCAAACTATACAAACACAGACATGAAATACATTTTTATGTTGTAACATCCCAAACACAGACACAAAACACACGTTTACGTTGTAACATCATCAACTATACAAATTCAGACATGAAACACACATGTTTATGTTGTAACATCCCCAACTATTCAAACACAGAAATAAAACAAATGTTTACGTTATAACATACCAAACTATACAAACACAGACATGGAACACATTTTTATGTTGTAACATCCCAAACACAGAAATAAAACACATGTTTACGTTGTAACATCAACAACTATACAAACACAGACATGAAACACATGTTGATGTTGTAAAATCCCCAACTATACAAACTCAGACATGAAACACACATGTTATGTTGTAAAATCCCCAACTATACAAACCCAGACATGGAACACATGTTTACGTTGTAACATTCCCAACTATACAAACACAGACATGGAACACACGTTTACGTTGTAACATCCCCAACTATACAAACAAAACGTGTGTTCATGTTGTAGTATCCCCAACTATTCAAACACAGAAATAAAACACATGTTTACGTTGTAACATCCCCAACTATCAAACACAGACATGAAACACGTGTTGATGTTGTAACATCCCCAACTATACAAACACAGACATGAAACACACGTTTACGTTGTTACATCCCCAACTATACAAACACAGACATAAAACACATGTTTATGTTGTAACATCCCAAATAATACAAAATCAGACATAAAACGTATGTTTATGTTGTATCATCCCCAACTATTCAAACACAGAATAAAACACATGTTTACGCAGTAACACACCCAACTATACAAACACAGACGTGGAACACATGTTTATGTTGTATCATCCCCAACTATACAAACACAGAAATAAAACAAATGTTTACGTTATAACATCCCAACCATACAAACACAGGCATAAAACGTATGTTCATGTTGTAGCATCCCCAACTATACAAACACAGAAATAAAACACATGTTTATGTTGTAACATCCCCAACTATACAAACACAAACATGAAACATATGTGTACGTTGAAACATCCCCAACTATACAAACACAGACATGAGACACGCATGTTTATGTTGTAACATCCCAAATAGTACAAAATCAGACATAAAACACATGTTTATGTTGTATCATCCCCAACTATTCAAACACAGACATAAAACACACGTGTTTATGTTGTAACATTCCCAACTATACAAAAACCGACATAAAACGTATGTTTACGTTGTAACACACCAAACTATACAAACACAGACATGGAACACATTTTTATGTTGTAACATCCCAAACACAGACACAAAACACACGTTTACGTTGACACAGACATGAGACACACATGTTTATGTTGCAACATCCCCAACTATACAAACACAGACATGAAACACATGTTGATATTGTAACATTACAAACACAGAAATAAAACACATGTTTACGTTGTAACATCCCCAACTATACAAACACAGACATAAAACGTATGTTTACGTTGTAACACACCAAACTATACAAACACAGACATGAAATACATTTTTATGTTGTAACATCCCAAACACAGACACAAAACACACGTTTATGTTGTAACATCAACAACTATACAAACACAGACATAAAACACACATGTTTATGTTGTAAAATCCCCAACTATACAAACTCAGACATGAAACACACATGTTTATGTTGTAACATCCCCAACTATTCAAACACAGAAATAAAACAAATGTTTACGTTGTAACACACCAAACTATACAAACACAGACATGGAACACATTTTTATGTTGTAACATCCCAAACACAGACACAAAACACACGTTTACGTTGTTACATCAACAACTATACAAACACAGACATGTGACACATGTTGATGTTGTAACATTCCAAACTATACAAGCACGGACATAAAACGTATGATTACGCTGTAACACAGCCAACTATACAAACACAGACATGGAACACATGTTTACGTTGTAACATTCCCAACTATACAAACACAGAAATAAAACACATGTTTACGTTGTAACATTAACAACTATACAAACTCAGACATGAAACATATGTGTATGTTGTAACATCCCGAACTATACAAACACAGATTAGAAATACATGTTTAGGTTGTAACATCCCCAACTATTGATATAATATTGATACAAAGATAAAACACAGCAAATGAACTATACGAATACAAACGTATTACTCACATTTAGTTGTCACATCTCGAACATGAAGTGTTTTACCGATACCGTTTGATTGGTGTAACTACCAAATGCATATAAGCATTATTCTGATTTTTTAATCCAAAAGACCGCGAGTTGTATGCAGAATGAAAAAAAGAGTTTTTCATACATTTTGTCAAAAGTTTACATCAAAAAATGCTGTTTTAAATAGGTGTTTGCCAATAATTTCTCAAAGTATGTAAACCGAACACATCCCTCAATCAGAAGATTCTCATTCAGGAATGTCCCATAGAAATTGAATGGTACAGTTCCAAGCAGATTTTTAAATAACAGAAAAGTAAATCTTTAAAACAAGGGTCTCATTTGGACGCGATGTAAACTTTCTTTACGATAAAATGGTTTTATCAATGAAACGTTTTATAGTGAATTGATGTTTCTTTAAATGAACATGAAGTAAAATAAAGTTAAATGCAGGGAAAAACTCCCCGCTCATTCTAGCCCCCCCCCCCATTCTACATACAACTCGCGGTCCATTGTATAAATGTATATAATATGATTATTGATATTTAAATTAAATGGGAATGAATCTGGATTAAATATCAAGTCTTCAAACTGGTCGAAAATTCACATTTTACAATACATCTCTGAAAACAGTCGCATTTCATGCATGTAGCGTGTTAAAAATCTAATAAGTTTCTATATCATTTTACTTCATCATTATCTTGTTATAGTCGTGTCATTTAACCTGCCATAAATGCCTGGGTGTTGTAATCACCATCACTCAAAATAATGTCAACTAAACGACAGTTTAAGCCTGTAAATGAGGTAACTTTGATTGGGAGGTGCATAATAAAACAAATAAATAATATTTCGCTATGGATATAATATTTGAATCACCATTAATATCACTTAGTGTATCAGATTTATTCACTAAGATTTGTTGAAAAAACACGGAAAGAGCTCAATACAATTCACTCATACTACTGACTAAAAGTGAGAAAAGACGTCAATATGCACGGATGGTTGTACATATCTCTAGGATTTATGATTGCTGAAACACAGTCGTTAATTCGATATGATGATGATTGTCAACATAGAGTTGGTAAGTAAATGACAATGACAATACAATTGGACCTTTTCAATCAATTTTTTTATTTTGTAATTGCTAAAGGTTACTTTTTTGGTCAACATAATTATTTTGTTAGTAAAAGTAATTTAAAACTGGAATCAGAAATAAGCGGCGCGATAAAATTTTAAGCATCATTTCGTAATCATTTTCAAACTGCATGTAATTATAATATAACAGTATCGATGATCTCAAAACATTGAAGAATTCTCTTGTCTATAGCACTTAAAATAACACATTTAGAATGTTCAAATTGATAACATGAGCGCTCGTTGTTCAGGTTCCGTTTACAGAGGGTGGCAAACAGAATGACATGCGAAATGAAATATATGGAATAACACGCATAATAATTATGTCACCACCAACGGCAACGTTTTGTGTTAGGCATTTGACATTTTGGGATGAAATAAACTAAAACAAATGATCTGTTGGTACTATATAACTGATCAAATCGAATGAATGCTATAAAGTTCAAATCAGATTTATAAGTCATATTTGGTAAACGATCGAGTATTTACTTTCTTTAATTTCTTATCGTTATTTAGTATAATAACGGGTCCAATGCCATAACCTTAAAATTAGAATGCTTTATAGTATATTGTAAATTTCAGTTGGACAACCAAGAATGTTTGTTTCACGACTGGGAAAGCGTTCACACGTCACACTTGAGAATGGGAGACAACAGGAAAAAGTCGTCCCTCCATCACCCATATATTTCCCGTGCAGCAGGGAACACCAATGTAAAAACAATGCGAAAGTCGTAAAACTTATCGGAGTTGACACAAATTGTGTATGCATTTGTCAAACAGGCTGGACTGGACAATTTTGCAACATTTCAACTCAGACGACGTCAAAATTCGAAAACGATAAAACATGGGCAAATATAGAATTTATCTCTACTTGGATAGAGAAACTGTTTGATGGCTCAGTAAAGACTAGACGTTCGTCTTCATCCACAAATGATATATTGAAAAATATATAGTATAAACTAGGTTGAAAAATGATTATACTGTACAACCTGAAGTAGTGATTTGCAATTTTTTATTTTAAATGTAAGTTTAAACGTTCTACTTAGCATACCTTTAAGTCAAAGTTTTATAAATTGCCATTTAGTACTTATATTTTTGTTCCAATATCATTTATTCTTAAAACCTCCATTACTTTTTGAAGGACTGTACTGTATCAAGAATGTACAGGACGTGTTTTTACATTACATGTACTTTAAAACGCCTTATAGACACGGGTTGGGATCGACAGATCTAAGAAAACTTCACAATTTATTATTTATTTTTATTAAATTCAAAGATAACATTTTCTTCAAAAATCTTGAATTTACCTAAAACTAAATTTCAGAGACTAGATCTATCTTTCTATTAGCGATACTTCACACCAATGCATCGCTCCTTCATTGGTTTTTTGTTGTTGAAAAGGTAATAAAATTGGTTGATAAATAAGCGAGATGTGAACTCATCGATGCATTTTCAGAGAAAAATGCATTTCAAAATTTTAGTTCTCATAGAAACCAATGGTAAGCTTACAGTAATATTTAAAACATCAAATATTATTTTTTCAACCTAATTAGTATTAGACAAAATTGATTTATATTTGAAGTTTAGCATATTTAGAAAAGATTGATATAGAAAGAATGATTTTTGTCAGACTTTTGCCACCTGAGTGACATCACTAAGGTTGCGAAATGTTTTAGAAATGCTACTTTTAACCGAAATGAATAGACAGAAGGGAAGTTTACCAACAAATGATACATCATTTCATGGAGTAGGCAACTTTCTTTGGTATAACGAAACATACGAGTAAATCAATAAATTGTGATTTTTAGTGTTTTTATGAAAAATTGCATGTTCCATTACAGTGAATAAATCGTTTGATCCCAACCCGTGATCACAAAAACGTGTATGCTTTCATCGTACTTTGTTGGCACTTAAGTCATAAGCTCAATTTACACTACGCGCAGCATTCCAAGACGTTTTGGCTAAAACGTTTTAGAAAAATTAAGTTGAGTTTACAATACCATTTTCAAGACTTCTTAGGAAATAAGATCGAGTTTACACCTGTTTTCCTAAAACGTCTTAGAGATATGTAGGTTTACATGTAAAATGAAAAAAGCAGTGCAGTACTGGTTGAAGGACGGTTCAGTCAATATAGCTATTCCTTTCCCGCTTCTATCCTTTGTACCCGACTTTGTACTAAAGAATGCATCGGTTTCAGAAAAATATGTCCTAAAGACAGCATTGTTAAAAGCATGAAAGAGAGCAGGAAGATTTTATATAAATTAGGATTATGATAAATCGCCAGGCAAATAAGTTCTTCTCAATAATTCTGGGATGATATTGAGAACAAGGGATAAGACAAAATAAAGGACCATGCGACATATGTAAATGGAAAGTTTCAAATGTTTCGGTCGGCGCAACGCAAAAGCTCTTAGCTAAAACCGATTGATTTACACTCGCTTGTAAAAACGTTTTATCTAAGCGCTCTTAGCCGAGAGCTCTTGGGTAAATCTGGATTTACGTTACATTTGTAAAACGTTTTAGCGCTAAAACGTTTTAGCAAAAGCTACGTTCACACCAACGGTGAATGCCACGCTTTAAATCGGCGAGCAAGGCGCCGTTATTTTTGTCATTTTTGTTCATACCAACGGCGCTTTGATGGCGCTTTAAAGCGGCTTGTAAAGCGGCACCAAAGCGTAACAAAGCTTGATTAAAGCGTCGGGGTCGTAATAGGTCGTAGAAAAGCTCGGAGTAAAGTGGGATATTCGGCAAGAGCGCCAAAAATTGTTTAACTTTTTAAAAATGTTGGGCGCTCTGTTACGAATTGATTAAAGCGCCGAGAGCGTATCAAAGCTTAACAAACCGTAACAAAGCTCAGAAAGCTTGATCCAAAGCGTAGGAAAGCTTAACATAGCTCTGATAGGTTTCTCACGCTTTGATCCCGCTTTGACCAGGCTTTGTTACGCTTGAAATCACGCTTTAATAAGCTTTGATAAGCATTATTACGCTTTGATTCGATAATGACGCTTTAAATCAGGCTCTGATACGATTACCAAGCTCTGTTGTGCATTGTTACGCTCTGTTAAGCTCTGTCACGCATTGGAAAATGTCGAGATCGCCGATGTCATGCCGCTTTTGATCCAATAACTATATAAAGATGCAGTAGATCCATAAAACCATTGCATCTTTGACTCAAGAACACGATGGCAGAACAACAAGATCCAGAAATTCCAGATGGACCAGAGCATGACCTATCTGAAGAAGACATGATGTTTGTCGCACGGCGTGATATAGCGTGTGGAAACTTGTCAAGCGTAACAAAGCCTAGCAAAGCGTTTCAATCATTGATTAAAGCGTCTCAATTCGTTGGAAAGCTTGAGAGTCCTTCATGAAAGTGTAACAAAGAGTGTCAGATATTGATGAAAGCGTCTGACCTCGTGTCAGATCTTCATGCCAGATCGTAGCAAATCTTGAGACATCTTAACGAAGCGTATCAAGTGGTAACAGATAGTGAAGAATCTGGGGTCCCCGCTTTGAACTAAGCTCTGTAAAGCTTTCCTACGCTTTGGGTCAAGCTTTGCTGAGCTTTGTTACGGTTTGTTAAGCTTTGATACGCTCTCGGCGCTTTTAGCAATTCGTAACTGAGCGACCAAAATTTTTAAACAGTTTAAAATTTTTTGGCGCTCTTGCCGATTATCCCGCTTTACTCCGAGCCTTTCTTCGACCTATTGCGTCCCCGACGCTTTAATCAAGCTTTGTTACGCTTTGGTGCCGCTTTACAAGCCGCTTTAAAGGGCCATCAAAGCGCCGTTGGTGCGAGCGTAGCTTGAACAGTTTTAATTTTTTGCGCTCTTGCCGAATATCCCGCTTTACTCCGAGCTTTTCTACTACCTATTACGACCCCGACGCTTTAATCAAGCTTTGTTACGCTTTGGTGCCGCTTTACAAGCCGCTTTAAAGCGCCATCAAAGCGCCATTGGTGTGAACGTAGCTTAAGGCGTCTTAGCGCACTAGTGTAGATCCAACAATTGATGTCGAAGAATACATAGTAGACACTTTATTTCAGGGCACAATGATGACTTCTATCCATACGCTATTTCAATTGGTATTTCATTAATTTTGGGAAGGAACATATTACGAGAACCATTTCTAATAATTACAAAATGTTCCTGTAATTAGAAATTTGAACATCTCCACAATCACCACGGAAACACCTTCATATATAGCAAAATAATAGCAGTAGGATGTAATTAACGGTGTATGTAAAATGAACCCCGACCACATTCCAGTTATTACCACACAAAATAATATTCTTATGAGACTGTGCATTCAGGGATTTTTTCAAATATCTTTCTCATTTTTTCTGAACATATAGATTACTTATATAAACACACAATGCTAAAATATTATAGCCATATCTTAAATTGATTTTGAGATAAGAACCTGGTTTATGGGTAGGCAAGTCAAGACACACCCCAAAAAGATTTCAGACGCGGTGAGTGTGGCTGATGCAGATACAGATACATTAGGAAACATTGGGAGTACCGTTACATTTAATGCACAATCAGGAAAAGGTATAGGGAACACTATCAGAGACATACATAGACTGATTAGAGTGTATGAGCAAGTTGCTACATAAGCGTCAGGAATTTATAGGTAGTATCGTAATTTTGAGAAAGGCATGGTTTCTGTTGAAGATCATCCACGTTTTGATTGCCTTGCATCTACAGAACACTATAATATAATATGAGAATGTACTTTATGAAGAAAGAGGTTAATATGGGGTATGGAACAATTCAAAGAATAGTTCAAAATGACATGAATATGCGTTTGTTCTGTTTAAAATAGGTACCGAAGATTGATTAAAATAACGAATTTATCCATTTCATATGTTATAATTTAATTGACCTGCCTACCCTAATTACAAGTTACCATGGTAACCTTATCTCAAAATTAATTCAAGATGTAGCTTAAATATTTTAGCATTTTATCTGTACGTTATAATCTACACGTTCTGAAAAAATGTACAAAATGAGAGCATTTTTATCAGAATACATGGATCGACCCTTGTATATGGACATTACTGATGTGCTACATTATATAAATAATATATGAAAATAGTTATTCAATCACAGAGTGATATTATACAAAGGGTGACTGTTATAAAGAGAAATAATACAAAACTTTCCCATTGTAATATCCTGTCAATTGAAATGTGGGCGCCGAGAGATAATGTGCACGCTCCACATCCTGCTCCGTATGATATGGTCCGTTCGTGTGCTAGAATACGATCCCTTCGTGAGACAAAGAGGCCAAATTTGACAAAATGTCAGGAAAAGTTAGGAAACGGAGCAAATTTTGATATTTTGTGAATGGTTACCTAGGCATATAATTACCTATGGATTCATGAAGAAAGAAAGAAAAAATAGCAAGGCTTCATTGGTGAAAATAGGTCGAACATAGGCTTTTCACAACAGAATACAATTGCAATAATTCTTTTATATGTAACTGTATACTGTACATATCTAATTTCGTGCAATTTATAAAGTACATGCATTAATGTGTGCGACTGATAAACAAATATAACGTAATACATCACAAAAGTACATGAAAATGTGGTTTAAAACTCGAATAGAAGGATCCGACCCTATCACAGCTAGGATCCGACCGTGTGAGGATAATTTGGGGACTCCGACCATGTCCTGTTAATAGTTCCATCTTTCTGTGTGAAAAAAATCGACCAATTCGTGTTTCACAAAAAATATTATCAAATTGACATGCATATATACGATCATTGTATCATATAATTTATTTTTTGTTTATGCGTTCCGTTTCAACATGAACTGCTCTGTTTGGACGACTGGATAATTCATGAGAATAAGTGGGCTTTTGGGGTGTGGATGTCGATGGTACTTTCGTCTAAATTAGTGTCTCCTTGAAAGCTTGAATCTGGTACCTGCTCATATATCAAAAAGTGCCACCCACATAATGTTACATAACTTTTTTGTCTGCAGGATTTCTGATTTTTTCAGTTGCACATCAAAACTGACTCCATGGAGCAACTGCGCACGCAGCTTCGGATGATTACAGTAGCTCAACTAGATGTACTTTTATGGTTGTTACAAGATGTGCTCTAAATATCGTCAATTCCTTTGCTGGTTCACTTCTGGATTCTAATGGCAAAGTTATTGATAACATTCGCCTGACGTGAACCCTCTAAGTCTTTATCTGGGAGTATTTGATGTATCATGTGTGTGTAACAAGCCCCCGAACCATAGAACACTTGAAGAGAGAGATCACCAGAAAGTACAAATACTTCAGCTAGTCATCTGAAACTTCTTATGGAGCAGCTCCATCGAACCTAGTTTTGATGTGCAAAAGAAAGTCAGAAATCCTGCAGACAAAAAGTTTTCCAACACTATGTGGGTGGGACTTTTTGTGTCACCCTGTACAATCAATGTGATATTTATCATTATAACAAATTACACACAGGTTTACTTCTTAAACTTACTTTAATTCTTTATTTTCTAATTGATTAAAGAGTTTGTTCACATTCCATCTTCAAAATCTGAAAAATCAAAATGGGAATTCTTAATATATCTTTCTTCATTCGGTACATTTGAATCATATGTAATTCTATGTTACAAAGTCCCAGAATTTTATATAGTAACACCCAGCGTTCCTGGATAGAATGTTCCTTTGAGCCACGTGCTGTGCTATTCACTGCCAGATTGAATGTTTTTCCACTTGACCCAATTGTCTTCTAACCGTCTGTGAATCTCTAAGGTTGAGGTGAAATAGCTGAAAACGAGATTATCACAGTCAAATACACTTCATTATATTCATTATCTCACTGTCATGTTTCATGTTTTGTGATTGGTTAAACACGCATCACATTGATAGATGAATGAGCCTCGTTTTGAAGAGCGAATCATTTTGTTTTTGAATATCCCTCGTCTCCTCTTACAGAATGAAAAATAACAGTTAATGATTAAATAAAACAACTACTTCTTTCTATTTTTGGCGAAAAATCTGTGTCATTTTAAAAAAGGAATATTCACATTTCTCTCTGGGCATGCCACTCGTGAATGATGCAACTGAATGAAATATTTGTATCATGTTGTGCACACAATAAAGTAATATATATTGGTTTTGCACACAATAAAGTAATATAAACAGGGTGACACAAATATATTCAACCCTTACATTTGTGATAACCTCGCTCAATCATGATGAAATCTTCATGAGATCAATCAGAAAACGAGGTTTTAAAACTAATAGATAGAATTAACAACTTTGGAATAAGATATTTTTGTTGATGTATATTCCGTCAAAGCACTCAAAATGAAGATTCTGAAATCTGCAGCTGCTTTTGTGAATATTTACCAAATGATTTTCAAGTCAATTTACCAGGATTTCAAATTCCCTAACATTACACGGGTAGATAGGATATATCATTGAAAATGTGTACGAAATCAAATAATATTAGAGACAGAAATCATAAAATTAGAAAAATTACATTTTTGAGTGATAAGTGAGTTGCGAAATCTCTCTAATAAAAATCACGAATATTTTATCGCTTCGCTCACTGTTACTTGCTTTTGCGGTTTTAGTTTCATAAATATCTTTGATGAACATTTCCATGAGAGATATTCGCCTGAGAGCTAGATACAACAATCGATAGTGATTGTTTTACTTTTCTATAAAACAATAGAATACAAATCTCACATCAGCACATGGAATTATTAGTCTTCATTTTCGGATTCCCATTCCATTCCAAGTACGACACCAGTGCATAGAGTGTTTAAGCCTTTATCTAACCCGTTTAGGACATCCATGTCCTCCTGACTGAGGGAAAAGTCAAATATCTGGAAAACGTAAAAACACTTGTTAATTCTAGATCCCTTGAATCAAGAGAGAATATCAGTCTTATTGAACCATTTTCTGTGGAATGTGACCTTATTACAACTATTAGTTACACTCCCCTCCATTGGTTTGGCAAGCAGTATTCTTCGTTTTATAGGTATTGTCAATGTATGAATCTTTATTTGGATTATTTATGACAGTTTGGATATTATTGACTTTGATGAATGTACTGTATCTAATTCGCCAAAGTTCTAGTTGCCAAGAAATACTAAGAAACTAGAAGATCGTTCCTTCGTGATAAAAGAATTTCTGTTGCATATATTAACTGAAAAATGTCTTTTGTTGTACTTTACCTGAGAATTTTCAAATATCCTCTTCTTTTTCACAGATTTTGGAACAGTGACAAACCCATTCTGCAACAAAGTAAAATATCTTTTCTTACTATTATTAAAATGCGCAGTAATGACAGCTGGATATCTAACTCGTAATTGTATAAAAACTATTTTCTCCATTTTCGGATGAGCAACTATGTTGCTATACCAAATTTTGAGCTGTGTGCATGTCCCTCGCAATGCGTACCTGTATGGACCACCTGAGGAGGATCTGCGCGCCTGTCTTCTTGTATTTCTCAGCCATCTTCACTAGTGTTGGATCATCAAACATCTGAGCACGAGCTAAAGGACAGTACGCCTTTACAACAAAAACATGTACAATATTTAGTAAAACATCATCTTGCATGAACTCTTTTAGGATATCGTGGTCTTATTGAACGATTTCATTCATTTATAATCATTCTTACCTCAAGCTGGATTTGAGCTTTTCTACAGAAGTCGACCAGTTCTTTGGGGTTGTTGTATGGGTGTAGTTCTATCTGATTCACCATGGGTTTTATATTGGCGTTCTCAATTATGTTTTCGAGGTGTTCAACACTAAAATTGCTGACACCTATTGCCCGAGCCAAACCTTTAAAAAAGAATGATCAATTCACTTCTCTGTTAGATATTGATTGTGCTCTCTTTCAAGAGATGCGCGTACATAAACTACACTGCTTTGATTTATGCCGGGATTTATGTGCCCAAGTAAGTGTATGTAAGCCTACGTCACTGCGTGAAAAATGGAATTTCTAGACTAAGCACGTCTAGAAACTAAGTCTAAGCACGCCGGGTGCTTAGGCGTGACTAGTTTTGACACGTCTAGGTACGCGATGAAACCAACTCTAGACATCTCTAGGCACGTCTAAGCACACGCAGTGCAAAGACGTGCTTAGAGTGTGACAAAAAGTCTTGGCACGCCTTGAGACTAATGATTGAAATCTAGAATAAAGTAATTATCGAATCAGATGAATGTATATTGTTATAAGCAATTATGATCAACATTCATAATTTAGACATATTTTCACTGAAATATACTGATTTCTTTTTATCTTTTATCTATTTTATTTATTATTTTGTATAACAAACTGTTCACGTATACCATGACGTTTTAGCATATACGATTGAATAATAAATCACGTACTGTTTAAAAGTTGTAAAATACCAAACAAGCTGTACTGAGTGATAACTAGTAAAAATATTGTTTCCCGGGCATCTATCAAGTTGTTACATCAAGCCCCGGGTATCAAGCAAGATACAAGAATAGTATTATTATTGTGCGTCTGACCAAATGGATGAAAAAACTATGTGTTCATATTGTGTATGCAATGTATCATTAATTGATATAGGGCAGGGGCGAAGCCAGCTTTCATTCAGGATGGGGGGGGGGGTGCGATCGCCAAAAACTTTTCGGTTTTCAGTCACGGGGTTCCGATTGTTGCATAAACAAGCCATGAAAATAAGATTTATTTTGAATTTTACAAAAATTTCTTCAAAATTGAGCTTTTTCTTTCTCGTGATTTTATTTTTATTGCACCCCCCCCCCCCCTTCGCTTCGCCTATGGACGCAATTAGCATATTCATTTAAGTTGCCTCTCCCCGTAGATACGCGGAGTTTCTAGACCATCCTACGTCTAGAAATTGCAAGAAATTCCACATTTGATGCAGTGATCATACTTGCGAATCATATTGAAATTAATCTTATTAAGCAAACAAGAATTAAAATACAGTGTACGTTACGCTAAAAACAAAAACTCCTTTGCACAATTACAGAACGATGATTCAAAATAGATTTTTGAAACCCTTTTTAGAGTACTTCTCTCCTATAGTGCAGGAAATAATTGTTTGGACGGTGGTCAATATTACATACACCCCCCTCCATAAAATTAGTAACAGGATTCCTTTTTCGGCCACCTATCTAATCAAAGCCTGATTATGATTGGCGATTTAGATAAATTCGTCAAATGTCACAAATAACTGAACTACTAGATCTAGCATTGCAATTGAGGAAAGAATTAGATTTAAATATTGATATGCTTCGAAATGAAAACACAAGTACGATTGCCAATCTAATGGAAGGGGTACGTAATGAAGACGCGATATTGTGTTTACCGTCCATCGTCCATCGCTCGAAAAGAAAATCGCATTGTCCTGACCAATCCATCTCACAAAAATCGCATTCACCTCAAAACAAAAATTGAATTCGTCTCCCATTTGAAAATTAAGAGATTTTGAAACGAAAAGAGTATGAAGCTCTGTTTGAGCCTATTAAACACAGGCGAATGGTAATTTCATCATCATGCTCTGACACAGTAAAGTCATAGACATCTGAGCAACAAACGATTTTGTTTGGTCGCTGTTATATTGTTTTGTTGATTTTTTTGATGCTGGTGTGTTTATATTATTCAATAAAATTTCATATTTCAAAATGTCATTAGTTAAGTCATTCGGATATTTTGTAGACTTATGATATAAGACTTCTCGTTTTGTTTCATCATACAAAGTTTAGATATTGACTTCGAACTTCAGATTTCATTGAAGAGAGTTAGGAATCACCTATGTTTTTATACCCTGTGACAACATAATATTAACCTCTGGCCCTCTGACCCCTCGAGAAATGTATCGTGTCCCTTTGGAAGGGTTGGTGCACGTCACCCCCCCGGCCAAAAAGTCTAGACCTTTCAAAAGCGTGCAGCTTTTCACCATTGTGAGCACTTCAAATACACCATTGACCATTCCAATGACTTAGCATCGGGATACCATCATGTATTTCACCAGTCCATGTTATGTCGATGCATCATTGAAGACTCCTCATTTTCCCAGAAGAACTCAAGTTGATCGAATCCCAAAAGGTACAATCATGCCAGCTTTCAGTCGGGGGGGGGGGGGGGTGATGCCCAAACGAATTTCGGTTATCAGTCAGGGGGGTACCATTGTGGCTAAAACAGGCCAACAAATTTATTTTGAATTTTACAAATATTGATGCAACTTCTTTCAAAATTGAGCTAGAGGCTAAAAATAAAAAGCATTTTACCCTTTTCTTCTTCTATCTCATGGTTCTATTTTTTTTTATTGGTTATCGCACCCATCGTACCCCCCCCCCCCACTTGGTAACGCCTATTGTTTTTTAAACAGGACATTCACACGCGGGAAGTCTCGGGAAGATATATTGTATTAATATCCCTCAGAATATTCCCTATATCCAAAACATTCCAGTGCATAACCCCTATGTATTAACTTTATCATTTGAGAGGAGTTAAGCTACACGTTTTAGAGACAAAGTGCACGTGAACGTAATATTATGACCCCTCCACATTGGTTTCTCCAGGGCCCCTAATAATTCAATATCCCTTAAACCCCGGGCATAAAACGTTTATCACAGAGTCCTAACTACGACCGTTAGTTTGAATGTCAAACCTACCAGGTGTTTAAAAATCAAGGATTATGAGTCTCATAATGTACCGTTTTTGTTCCATTAAAAGCAAAACAAAAATGCCTCTCTGTCGGTACATTACTGTCGGGGCCGGTCCCAAGCTGTGTGAAGCGCTTCTCACAGCTGGGGATCCAAACGCCGCTAAAAGGAGGGACTCTCAGTCTGTATAACAGTATAATGTAACCATCAGAAAAATGTGTTTTCTTTTAATGGAACAAATTTGAAGAAAAACGGTGCAGTATATTGATTCACAATCCTTGATTTCCAAACAGGTGTAGGTATAAAATTCAAATTAACGGTCGGAGTTGGCACCTCGTGTTTATACTTACTAGTAATCGGACAAATAATACAACGAAAGGCAGAACTTATTCCAAGAGGACCAAAATTCTGCACGTTCACGAACAAGCTCCTTCATAACCCCCCTATCATGAAATATGGCATCTATTGCAGTTTTCTAAACCTACATTCTAAAGGACGTAATCCAAGTTCCCCCCTCCCCCTATTCGCTCATGTTTATAATGTCCAGTGAAGATCATGAATTGATGCACATGTATACATGTGTCTGATATGTACATGTATGATTACAATTGTAGAGTTAGAAATTGAAATGTTTCCCTTTGTCACTTTTATGCATCTTATGTAAACCTGTTTGAACTAATAAAATACTAAAAATATGATAACTTCATTCGAAATGCATGCAATTCACTCCAATTATATTTATTTTCATTATAGGATAGGGAAAGAGTTTTAATTAAAAAATAGACTGCGGTTGTGATTTGGGAGGGGGTATACTCTACTTTAGACCCAGCAATCTTCACAAATGGTGGCTACAACTTAAGTTCCAATTTATGAATCTCTCATTAAAATTAACAACTATTACTAAAGGTTCTTTCTGATTGCATTTTACCAATGAAATTATAATCTCTGACTAAACTCGATTTTAGATTTTAAGATATGAATTTTAGATCTCACTGTTATTTAACATTAAATGTCTAGTGTGGGATTGAGCGATAAATCTCCCGTCAAGAAAATGGAATGGCATCTCTTAGTCGGGCTCTTACTATGCTATTTGGACATTCAATTTCACTTCTGACATTGCGTGCGAGGTACAATTTGATCAAAGAAATTCCAAAATCAGAATCTAGCAAATCGCAATCTTTGCCACAATCATTTATTCGGACATTGCACATACATCTATCGTTATACCAATGTATAAGATGACATGATTTATCATAATTACAGGGTCTTAATAGTCAATGGCTACCCTTTTTATTCGTTCGACTTCTAATGCTGCTAATCACCCATCCCCTCTTCACAAAACGACGACATTTTAACTGCTTTCCAAATTCAGGCCCGTAGCCAAGGGGAGCGGAGGGAGCGGCCGCTCCCCCTCCTGGCCAAATGATGTTTTGCCAAAACAGTCAAAAAGCCCCCCCCACTCCCTTGGCAACCCCCCCCCCCCCCCATGGTAAAACCGCTCCCCCGGTAAATCCTGGCTACGGGCCTGAAAATATTATATATTGATCTATAATTTATAAACATGATTTTCTAGGTTCCAGGTTTCATGGACCGTCATTCCCCCAGAGGCCTCCTTGAAACATACCGATTGCAATGTTTATCCATTGCAACATGTCTTAGGCCCAGGTCTTGTTGCACCATTTTCGTTGCCACATTCTTACAGGAAATGTATAGATATCGGAGATATATATCTACATAATTGTACTTTTTATTTTTATTATAAAGAAGCTGTTATCTGGATTGAGCATGGACTTAAACTTGAAAAACATCACCAATGACTTAATTATAGTGAATGTATGGGGGGGGGGTAATGATTCCATCTTTTATTTTCTAGATTGGGCTCTAAAAGTAGACCTCTAATACGCCTTACTTTCTGGTCAATAGTATGCCTCTTTTTAAAGGTTTTGTTATGGCGTAGACCTACTCTGCGTGCAGAGTCTAGTTAAACTACTAAGACGAAGCTCTCTTTTAAGAAGTGAAGTCAAACGAATGCAAAGGGTAGCGTAGACCAAATCATCTCCTTAAAGTTTTATATTATAAGCATATAGACCAAAACTGCGCTTAAAACTTAACAATTATATATAGTCAAAATGACCATTAAAAACTCTAATGATTACACAAGTGGCCATAAGTACGCCTCAAAAACTCAACAGATAATGTAGCTTGATCATTTGATTTCACTTGCTGTTGGATGAATTGATTCAAAATACTAGTCCATGTCCGTGCGATTAGTGTCAATTCATATAGTTTTGATTACAATCAGAATTCTCAATTTTGAGAATTCACTTTCAAGTCACTTTTCCTTTAATCTATCTGTAATCACTAATTAACTAGATCAATACATACTCGATTTCCTCTGCCCACCAACAACACTGTTATGTAAGGGCGGAAATAAATCACTGTAATCTTGTAATCAGGCATTTGAAAATGACCCCTAAATTTCATCCATGTCCATGGTAAGAGCCAAGGGTATATGGGGGGGGGGGCTGGAACTCTTACATATGACTGGCCAAAATTTCAATCTCATGCAGTTTTCATCATTTTTTGGACACTTTCAAAGAGCTCTTTGAATCTCAGGGCCGTTAGATGGGGGAGGGGGTGTTCAGATATCACTATATCTAGGATGTTGATCTGACATTATTTATGCCGGGATACCTTCTTGCCTTTTCCAAGTCGGTATAATAGAAATCAAGATAGGAAAAAGATACCGACTTTGGCAAGGCTACCCCATCCACCCTATTCTAATCTTTCTGGAAACTACTCCCCATGTGGTGCGATCCCATTCTGATACTCAAAGCATCTTTCTGTTTCACCTGAAACATCTCAGGACTGAGAAGAAATGCGATGTCATGATGTGCGATCGTGGCATAACTTATTAAGCGAGCCCAAAAAATGTTAAGATTTATTTTGAATTTTACAAAAATTGATGCATCTTTCAAAATTCTTCAAAAATGAGATTGAAACTTCAAATAAAAAAATTGAAAGCTCTTTTCTTCTATCTAATGGTTAGCTTTTTTTGGGAGGGGGGGGGTGGTGCCTTCGCACTCATCGCAACTCCCCCCCCCCTCTGCCGTCCAGAGAGAGAGAGAGAGAGAGAGAGTCCAGAGATAGTTTGCAAAGCGTGCTCACGGCTTTCCATGGAAAACATTACCAGTTGCAACTAGTCTCTTTTTTTCTTTTTAATTTTTTTTCTTTTTAAAGTTGCAACTAGTCTCTACAACTGTCACTGACTGAAGATCACAGACACAGACACAGTTACATGTACATTATGTCAAGGTGAATACAAAATATGCCCTTTTTGGAATGTTCAGGATTCACGATGGTCAGAACGAGATTGTATTTTTGATAATACAAATATAAGGGCTTTAACATGGGATTTAGGGGTAGGTACCCTGTACAAGTAGGGTTTTGATGGGAGGTTGAAGGGGTATGTTACCTTCAAAAGTAGGATTTTAACGAGCTCGAGGGTCAAGGCCTTAGGGGGTAGGCCCCGGTGTAGACACCCTGTAAAATGGGTATTTAACAGGGGTTGAGGATTGATTGAAGATATCCTGGAAAAACTTGGCTTTAACATGGGTTAGGATGTTAGTTAAAGTAGGGGCTTAATGTGGTCTTAAAAAGCTCCAACGTTCCTCTTAGGGTGGTTAGTCACAATTTTTTCTCTAAAACTCAATTGTAATGTTGTAGCCAGAATGTTTCGGGTCAAGAGACCAACTACGAAAGAAAGTTATCAAAAGGATTAATGCAAATGCCTTTTATATGAACAAAATGTCAACTACATGTACGGGGGAGTTTCCTGCCCCTGCGATCTTATTTGTCCATTTAGAATAAGATAAACCATGTAACCAGGTCCATTGTATTCCATTCTGACAGAATTTCAGATTCAATTTCAAATTAAGTTTATTATGTTATTATGCCCCTTTTCCTGTCAACTGAGCATGTCATCAACATGTCATACATTATCCCAAAAGAAATACAGAAAATATCTTAGTAAATACCCGTCCTAATGACATAAACCATGGGCTTTCAAGAGAATCTTTTGATAGCCCATGCATAAACATAGACAAAAATTAAACTTCAGTCCTGATTCCGCCAAATTAAATAGCCGCCAATATTTCAAATTGAGCAAATTCGTCAAATTAAGTAGCGGAAGTGTATCTAAAGTATCTCTAAGGGGGGGGGGGGTGGCTGAAGGCATAACGATTACCGAGAGATACAAATCGTAGAAATAGATGAGATGATGAATATGTATTGTATGTTTTCCAGTTGAATTATGTTATTTGTTATTGGTCCTAATATGATTAGGGACCACCAATATGTATGTGACAGTTTTGAAGTTTAAAAAAAACGGGTAAAATTGGTTAAAGTGAATTGTATATGATAATCAGAGCCTGGATTCAGAGGTACACAACTAAAATAACGAGGAATTAAAAATAGCCTATAGACCATGTAGACTGCAATCGTGGACTCTCTTGAAAGCCCATGCTCTAATCAAGGTAATTTTGGGATATCCCGTCTTTGAAGAAGCAAAAACGCAATCAAACAGTTAATTAGTTATTGTGTGATCTAGATTACAGATCAAAGAAATCAATTTCAAGATCATTATTACTATGTATTTAGTTCGTTGTATTTTTGAAAAGGGGTACAAGAAAACTATGTATTAATATATCAAGGGCAGGGTGCTACTGAATCTGATAGTTAAAGCTGGGAAAATGCTCTCCCCCATTTTGCACATATTGTGTGATGCCAATGAACCCTGAAATTTGTTTTTGTTTTCGCGAGCAATCAACAAATATGTTTATGAAAAGCTTGCGAGTCCAGACATATGATTCTCATTCTGTCTCAGCTTAGTGTTGATTAGATTTTATCCCAACTCTTCCGACGTCTGTGTCTCCCTCATTTTTACCCTATATTCAGTTTCTTTTTAAACCAATTTTACAAATATCCGTTCATTATATAAACCAGTAGTTGTTTATGACAAGATTATGTTTATAGATTATCAAAAATTAAGGAAGCGTATTCTGTAATTTCAACTATATGTTAGCCCCCTCCCCTTCGCCGACAGTAATGTATTGTTTAAAATAATACTGCATCCACCGGCCAATTATTCTTTCACCATTTAGAGCAGTTTTCGTGTGATTTTGAACAAATATCAAATGTGACCCCACCCCTGGAATAATAAAGTTAGCCCCCCCCCCTCGCCGACAGAGATGTCTAGTTTAAAATAATACTGTATCCCCTGGCCAATAATTCTTTCACCATTTTGAGCAGTTTTCGTGTAATTTTTGAGCAAATATCAAATGTGACCTCACACCTGGAATAATTTAAAAGTCATCCCCTTAGCAAATGCTGGATTCGGCCCTGGTACTTGTCAATGCGAAATAATGGGCGTTGATTAGTGGAAATACCCATTTAAACAGACCTTCTTAATTTATAACAAGTTAACAATTAAGAACCCATGTTGCGATGTACTTTTCCTGACTCAAGTCGGATATAAAGTGAAAACATAATCTTTTTAATTTGATATCCCGTATTTAGCTAACGCAAAACATGAAATATTAACACGTGCGGTAAATTATAATTTAAATGTTTCCATATAGCGCAAAATCTCAAATGGCAATTTAATAACGACTAATTTTGTCTTGTGTCTAACCACGGCGTGCTTAGAGATTTCTAGACTCTAGTCACGCTCTGTCCACGCCAGCTCTAAGCACGTCTAAGCACGCCTAGACCGACTAAGCACGTCTAGAAATTACTAGAAATTCCACATTTGATGCAGTGCGTGTGCTACGTTCTCTTGTTTTTGTAGTTCGAGCCCGGCACACAGTTTAACAGTAGAAGATATATTATTTGAAACCCCCTAACCTTTGTTATAGATCTCCTCCATGGCTCTCCAAGTATCTAAGTGGACAGCCTTCTGATCTCCTTTCAATACATTTGGCCAGTGCATAAGATACAAATCTAAATAAAATTCAAATAATATTATATCAACAATACATCTGTAAAACCCAAAACAGACAAGATACACACTTTGCATTCATAGAAAGTTCAATAATCTAAAATTCGTTGACTTCTCGTGACTTGCTCTGTGCATTGATTAAGTGTTTCTGTTAGATATGCATATGCACATGTCAAAGATATTACCTAGGTATTCGAGTCCTAATCGTTTAAGCGTTCCATGAAAAGTACGCAAAGTTTTTTCATAGCCATATCCTGTAGGCCATAGTTTGGATGTCACCCAGAGGTCCTCGCGTTTTAATCCACTTGCCTAAAAAACACAACTTGAATTAAGCTTGACGGGCCTCTAATGATAACGTAGTTGGTATGACTCAACTGACCATTTAACATTAGTGTGGAGCACCATATCACCATGTCGTAAGGGTCTGAATGTTACTCCACTCGGCCAACCGACACTTTCAGATTAAAAAAATAATTTGATTCAATCTCGTATGTGATGGTATGTGCATACCTTGATAGATTCCCGAACTTCTTCCTCCACCATATAACGTTTGGCTGTATCTATGTGTCTGTAGCCAACCTCAGTAAGGGCATAAACGACAGAATCATGCTCGTAACCACCGTGCGGGGATGAACCTATAACATAAGAGCACACACTACCGACGGGATTCGACCAACGAGATTTCAACCGATGGGGTGGCCCCATACACATAATATGTATACGGAACTTGTGATAATATTCTTTTATTTGTCTCTTGAATCCAATAAAATGAACAATTACAAAGTATATTAACTATGCAGTAATTTACATAACTTAGTACAGATTTACAGGCTTGATTCAGTGTTCCGGTTTTCAGGTTTGATTCAAGGTTGAAGATATCAATGTTGAATTAAGCTTGATTTTAAGGTTGATTCAGGATTGAGGTTTTTATGTTCAATCAAGCTTGATATCAAGATTAAATTAACCGAGTATATTTGCCATCAACCTTGATTCAACCATGAGAAATGTTTCATGTAGTTTTTATAAAGCAGCTTATAATTGATGTATTCTTACCGAGACCAAGTTTTGGCATTTGTACTCCATTGTGGAGAGTGACCGATTCTGTGAGTCCCGTAACAGACATATTGATCTCGAATATCCAGATGATATATGTACCTGTGCTTATTTGCTGCTAGTGTTGTTCTTCTTATATACTCGTCACTATTGAAGTTTCATAATTTGTTTTTCAACCACTTACTTATAACGACGTGAACAGCACCCATAAAGATATGATATCAGGTATAACTACATTAATAATAGTGTTTTATAACATTATGCTGTACAAAGCCTGAGACTCAAATAAAACTATTAATAAAGTTCGATAACAAATAATAGTGTTTTATAACATTATGCTGTACAAAGCCTGAGACTCAAACAAAACTACTAATAAAGTTCGATAACATATAACTTGTTATTATAATGCAGGGTAACTTAAAATTGAATCTCTATTTATAATTACAACTACAGATTATGATATCCTTTTGATTTTTCGTTTAGCGACATCGCCTTGATCCAGCTATGGAACAACAAAGTTAATTTCGTAAGAGGGGAAAGGTACATGTAAATGATGATTTCCTTAGCATTTCGATAGATGAGGGGAGCCTTCGTTTTAGTTGTTCAAAATGTGGGTTTTGAAGTGTTGGTTTGTTTCTTTGCAAGAAAGATATTGGTTACACACACATTTTGACAATTCTTTTCTCTTATTCTCCAATGACTATACTAACACAATGCAGATTTAATCTATATTAGTATTTCAAACCATGTTTGTACATGTAGCTTGCTATAACACACCATTCTAAAACAATTATATAGAATCATATTCCATAGAAGAAGAATATCCTGTTCGACTTGAATTTTGGATGTAAACTGTAATTTAGTCTGATGTATACTTTCACGGTACCGTACGGTACATTATGAGTATGTGTAGCGTACGATACCGTTAGAGTATGGTGTCATACAGTTTTTACCAAATTTCGCGAGGCCTTGTTTTCACAATGTGAATAAAAGCTATTAAAGATTTTATTCATGATTTACCTTTTCGGATCACCCTGTATGTCAATACTTTAAATATAATTTATTTATGAAGTTTATTACCGGGCACTCTGACAGAATAAGTTGATATTTTATATTTGGTTTATAACATATTATATAGTACTCCAAGTTATCTGTCCTGTTATTAATATCTTGTGGAGTCGACGTTTACGAAACTACATGTAAACCACGTTCTCATGATTCTATCTAATCATGGTTCTAGTGCTTTTGAAAATCAATACTGGTTATAACAAAAAAAAAACATAAAATTACACACTAAAACACTAAAAACTGGCGCCCGGGCACTGGCCAAACTATCCGAAGAAACTGTAATATTCTTCTAAGTAGTCACATATAAAATGGTTATAGTTATGGTAAACGTTATAGTTATAGTAAGCGTAAGATAACACATGTAAAAATGGTGACCATTTTTAAAAATGGCCCCCTATATGTACTAGCCTAATTACACCTGCTCTGAGGTATACATTACGATTCGAACATGAAAACTCACCAACATTTTTCGAATATTCATTTAATGGTCCGCCATTACTTCGGCCCACCGTTATGACTCGTATTACCAGGGGTTGTGTTGACGAATATACCACGGATGAAATGTTATTCACATTTTACAGCAGGCGTGGATACAGTCATGTTCGAATTTACTATATTGACCTGAGGAATATGTGACATCATAGTGAACGTGAATGGATATTTCAGCCCGGTAATGTTCCCCGGGAAATGAGACATCGTTCAGTGCATATACTTTTCGTTCAGTGGCAGTCAGTTCTTGCTATTTTAGCCCTGGGCACAAGGAGGATTGGCTCCCAGAATGCAACACCGATATTCTGCAAAACAATCACCTAGCGATAGCTTTGTAGGAGAGTATCGGGTCATTCTCCATGCAGTCGTACAAATTATACAGACACGAATAGCAAATGACGCATGCGTGGCGAGATTAAAGAATATCGAGTTGGAACCCTGGCTTCCAATCCTCCTTGCCCTGGGCATATACTTTTGGGGCCCCCACTTTTGTAACCTCATTTCATTAGGCAACATAGTGAAATTTTGGCCCTTGGTCCAATATTTCACTATATATATAATTTATGTCACCAAATGTTTCCTTTTCCCTCGAATTCGAAATAGAAAGAAAATCCTCAAAGAAAGTAAAAGAGGTAGTGTTAAATTGTGGATATTTGTATGTAACTGTGTAATACATGTAGGTTCAGAAAATGATAAACAAACTTGATATTTGTTTTTTGACAAACTCTGTTTCCACATATTCAGTCAGGTTCAGTAACTAAAACAACTTTCGAAATTCGTATGTTCCACGGACATCTAATACGTTCTTCGAACGGGAATGATATCAATATATATAAATTTGAAATCCCAATCTCCTCCTTTCGCCAGAACATTCTCTCTGACTGTGGTATGTTCATCAACATCAATATCTACCGAGAATGGTGCCACCTTTGGTTTATTAATTATTTTCAACATACCTATCAGCAAACGTGTATTAAAATGATAATTTCGATGTCCTGTTTCATATTGGTGAAGCAATCTTGAAGATATGGCCTGAAGTTCTGAATTTCCCCCATGTCCCTGTATACCCCTACTTCAAAATATGTGTTATTTGTCATTTTTATCATGAACCAACCCTAAATGAACCTGGCCATAGGAAAACCGGTCTTATCACAAAAATTAAAATTGTGCTACAGAGCCCAAAATGTGCCCTCGAAAATGTGCAAAATTCAGATCCGACTTTTTGATCTATATACGCAAGGAAAAATTGTTAGGACATAAGCCATGGCTCATTTGAAAGGTTTCTTTGTGCTTTTTAAGATAAACAAAAAATCAGAATATTGAAAAAATCTGTGATAAGACCCCTTTTCCTGTGGCCTGGCTCATAATGTATTTTTTCTTGTTTAAATACAGAATGAACTTTCTGTTTTCGAATATTGACAGATGGTACTGGATTTATTTTTTCATTATATGGAGCAAACAAATGCGTGTCAATCTACACTGTTATATCCTACATACTTATATTTCAAGGGTAGTTTTGAAGAATAATCAAGAAAATCCAAGTTTTCAAATGAATTCATACTTGTCAAAGAACGTGCATGATGATATGCGGTTTGAAAAACTAACAACATGTTCCAAGTTCTTACAATCCTTGGTTGAAGTAAATATTTTGAAAGTAATCTCCTCCTCAATTAATATTGTTAATGTTTGTGAAGTTTTTCTCTCGAAATATACATTGTTGGATCACAGAACCTTTCCTTGTTCGAGATGCACGAAAAGTGTATTGTTAATACTTGACGCAGTTCGGATATTTGGATGAGATTGACGTTTTCGGTAATCTCCTACCACTGTAACTTCCAACTTAAGCCAAATATGATGGTCACGAATTGATATTTAGGTCAGACGTTAATATATACTGTACATTATATGTGTACATTAACTGTCAAATACATGCCGACTTACATTTACATAAATATCCACACTTTAACTACAATCATCAATGCTAGAAACGGTTTATCATCTAGCCATCTAAACTGACTTATATTTCCTTTAAGCTCTGTTGTACCCCCTGATTTTGCCTCTGTTCCAAATAATGTTCAAACTACATTGTAAGTATATTTGCACTCATTGGTATAATTGTATTCAAGAACACTTTAGACATTATGCCAAAACGTTATCTCATTTGGTCTATTATGATGTGACAAACCAATACTTTCGTTCAAATAGATGAATACATAGGCAGGTCCCCAACTGCATTTAATAGGTATGACAACACACATGTATTATTTTTGCCTAATATTGGGAATATACACTTTTTAAAGTGTCACCCAGTTCATATATTGTATTTTGTGTGTATTTCAAATAATAAATAAACATAAAACATAGCCTGGCGAGTCTTAATGTTTCATTTCAATTTATAATTATGGTATCGGATTTGAGTACCATTTTAAATGAGACTCAGACTAAACAATAGCATGAAACCCCTTCTGAAAATTCGAACGATTTTCAAGAATCCTCCTTTTAAAGTGTTATCAAATCAAAGTGCTCCCCGGAAATGGAAATTTCGTCTTCAGGTCTTGTGCAATCAAAATAATAGCAGGGAGTTTGAATTTTGGTTTGAGTTTATAGCTTGCATCTCTTTAATATATCATCTCAATGCACTTTTTGGCGATCCGTCATGATAAAAAGCCAAGTATTGTGAAAAACACAGATGACACACTGACATTTGAAAATCTAGTCTCCTACATACTTGTCGGCTCATGTTTAAAAGTCGTGAAAACAAGGTTGAACATAAGAAATTGGCCCATTTATTGTCTATGTATTTGTCATGGAATCACTAAGGAAAACGTTCTTATAAATAACTTAAATTGTCAACAGTTATGTTGTATTCAAAGAAACTTATCAATTTAGAAATGCAAATTACAATTGTTCAAATACAGAAAATGGCAGCTGTAGATAACAACGTTGATAAAATTATATAGAAAGGAAATATTTACTTATGTTACATTCGTTGGCATGTGTCAGTGAGTATATAAGAAGAATACGACTTTTATTCTATATCTTGTTCCCAAAGGAAATGTTAAGGAGTGGTACATCTTAATGTAGTTTTATCACTCCGAACTTAAATATTTCGAATACTCATTCCGTGAACGCTTTGTTAAGAATGGATTCGAGATGTACTCAGAATAAATGCGTGAAATGTGCATTATCATCTTAACCACCTCGCAAATTATTTTTGAAATTAAAGTTGTCCATTTTTGAGATTTTTATTTTCGAATGTTGACGCATTTGCTGAGCCTGACTGATTATGAAATAGGACGCAAATAAGGTAGATATTTGCATTTATTATGTACTTTGTCATGTTTATCTATTACAAAAATCTAAGCGATCTGTCTTTTTAGAAGTCACTAAAATTTAATGTATAAGTGAGCTTGGCGGTAGGTTCAAACAACGCGGATCCTCAAAGCATGTGCTCATGGTATCATCGTGGCTTAACACCCGTGATGAAGGCTTGATTTCAATCTGGTATTGTGAGATCGAAGATAATATAGGCTTTCTGATGGTAAGCTATTGTTTTATATGTCTTTGCCTGTCCCAAAACCCGAAGCATCAAGCAAAGAAATCCCCTGTATCAAGCACAAAATAGAAATAACCCCCTCCCCTAAACGGGTCTATCACATAGGCCCACTGTGTGAGCCAAAAGACATATGGATCACCATGATATATCATTGACTTGAGGTCTATCCATCCTAGGATGATGATTGTTGTTGGATCTTATTGTGAGATTTTGTGTTGACATACAGCAGATTGAGTTGATTTTAAACTTTGGCTAGTGTCAATATGATGGCTAATTTGATGACTTTATTTTAACACATATGAAGTTTAAATGGTTGATTTATTGAACTCAAAAATGAACTTTACAAAATTCCATCTACACCAGGATATACATCCTTTTTATTGCAGCATGTCTAGTTGATTTTCAACTTTGGCTAGTGTCTATATGATTGCTGATTAAGACTGGATATTAACAAATAATGCTTAAAATCTATTATGTTCAATAAGCTATATTCGAACATGACAGACTGTATTCACGCCTTCTATAAACTGTGAACAAAGTCAATGTTTCACCCAGGGCCGGGGTATATTCAAGATCCATTCCCTGGCCCGGCTCTGTACCCGGGGCTCTGTACTAAGTGTTTCGTTCAGTGCACTGCACTCATTGGTCAGTTCAGGCTGTTCCATTCTTTTCGTCGTGATTTTTATTTCTGGGCAATATATAATTAATTTCAATAATTATCGATGTAGTAGAAATGCGTGCAACAAAAAGAATAATGTTAAGTCGGGGTCAGGAGGTAAGTAAACAAATTGGAACAGCCAAAAGCTCAACTGGAAATAGGAAATGTAGAGTGGAAATAAACCTGAAAATTAACGATTTTGCAATATTTTGAAGGGGCATTATTCGTGAATATACCCCGGGTGAAATGTTGACTTTGTTTACAGTTTATAGAAGGCGCGAATACAGTCATGTTCGAATACAGTATAATGTAGATTGTGTTAATTTGGTGCTCGTTTTAATTTGGTGAATTTGGGGATATTGAGAAAACACCAATTTACATCTTCTCCAAAGTTTAAAAAGCATTCCCGCTAATTCTGTATGGTATGTTCAAGTCACTTCTGGTTTAGTTTTTACAAAATCTGAAAAGGATAAAATGTGATATTCAGAACATGTCACATCTAAATTGGCTCAGGGGAGCTGCTTCAATGATAAATTACTGATATATAGTAGTTGAATTGAAGCAATATGTGTAACAATTTGTATTTTGTTCCTGTGAATATATAGAAAGGCATCAGGGCAATGTCCTAACCCTTTTTAAATTGCCACCAATATGGAAAAAATGTCAAAATCACCAAATTAAATAGCCCTAAATTAACCCAATCTACAGTATATGGTAAGTACGTATGTATTAAGGTACATTCCTGTACAAAAATTCTTGTCCCATATATAAAATTTGTGCCTTACTTTTTCAAAATATACTAATTTTGAACTCCTTGAATACAGTGAAAACTAAACACCTGGCAAACCTAAACCCTTTTTTGGGTCAAATTTTCCTTTGTTAAAACTCCTTGATATGTGAACACTGACTTTCATATTTGAAAAATTAACCTTTCTAATCTGACAATTTTCACAATATATCACATGTTTCTTACAAAATATTGCTCAAATATTTTCAATTTAAAACTGAAATGTCTTCTCAGAAAAATTATAAATTTTTAAAATTATTTGGGGGATTTTTTCGTTATTACTATCGAATATTGATGCAAGTGACTCGTATATGGTTGAAATTACAATACTATAAACAGAATAATTTGAGCTATTGTGATGGGGAGGATCAGATGAGTTGATGTGGTTTTCCCAGAACAGGCTATCTATGTTCAGGCATCCTTTCAAAATATATATACCCCATCAGAGCTCCTATATCACAACTGGCTATCTATGTTCAGGCATCCTTTCAAAATATATATACCCCATCAGAGCTCCTATATCACAACTGGCTATCCATGTTCAGGCATCCTTTCAAAATATATATAACCCCATCATAGCTCCTATATCACAACAGGCTATCCATGTCCTGGCATTCCTTGAAAATAACCTAGAGAACAGCAACTCCACGGAGTAGCAAATCCCACCGAACAAAACATGTTTTGATCAATAGCTAACCAAATCCATTCACTGGTATATGGCAGCCATTTTGAAATTCAGCAACCATCTTTAAAATTCTCCTTGAGCATTGGCTCCTTTACCTCAAGGCATCAGTATATAAAATTTAAACTCAACTGGTATTGGAATTATCAAAGATTATTTTTTGAAATTTGAATTAAATTGCCATATTGAAATTCCCTTCTCAAGCAGAGGTCTTACACCCAGTAGGTATACTGTAAGCTTATAAATTTGAATCAAATCCGTCAACCACTATTTGAGTTAATAACCCTGACAGATGGTCGGATTGACATATTCTCTATATCTTTGTTTGGTTGGATAATTATTGCTCCATCCTATGATAAAGCAGCATCACAGATATACTGTGACAGTTTATTGATATCATGTTCTGTTGGATGATTTGTCAGCACACGTCGCACCATATCACCATTATTACTAAATATTCCACTCAGCTCCTTGTAAAGAGTCTCTGTCTGTTGAGGGCTGCGACCATTGTCAGCGGTGATAGTACTGGAACAAATAAATTTGGTTTTCAATTTTATAACATAACATAACTTAGCATAAAGACAGTACTGCAAAGGAATGGTGTCTAATGGTAAACAGATGCAGAATAACAAATATTTAATGGGAGGATGTTAATGATGATTTCTTTAGTGAAAATGTTGAGTTATGTCAAAGCAAATCAGTATTTTTGAATTTCCTTTAAAGCCCCATATAAAAAACCACTTTGGCTTATACAGTGCAAGCTCAAAAGAACGCAACAAACTTGTCTCGGAAAAGCACAAACCGGTGATAACAGCATCAATTTCGTTCAATGTACCATCAAGCCATGTGCTTCTTCTTTCCATTGGTATGCCATTTAATGACATTTGGTCATGGTTGGGAAAAAAATCATTCCTTTTGCAAAGGGAGCCAAAATTAGCTTAGGACAAAGTTATAAACATCACAAAATCAGTGCAAGGGGCCAGGTACTACTACTATTGGAAGAAACTAGAAACCAGTGATGACTGGATCCTTTTCCTTCAATTTACCACAAAGCCACATTTCTCCTCTTTCCAAACTCTGAATCATCTGTTGGTTCAGGTGGAGAACAGCAGCCTATTGGATATTCTTTCTCATAGTGTTGGAATATCTGGTTGAACAATGGTGAACACTCTGCTCATGAGATAGCTCGGAAAGAAAAATTTGGTCCAGAGCTGACTTTTGGTGACTGTGCAAAAGGAGTGATTTTTCACCCAACCATGACCACATGTGAATTAATGACATACCGATGCAAAGAGGAGTGACATGGCTTTATGGTTCATTGAATGAAATTGATGTAGTCATCACTTGTTTACAAGATGACTGTTTGTTGCATTTTTATAAGCCCTGTAGTCTTGCCCTGATTTTATCAAAATGTGGTATGTGGAACTTCTTCTTTATTTCAAATAAAATTTAGGTGTCATGCACATACACTGTTAAGCAATAATGTACAACAATGCATAGCATAAATCCCAACCTATTTGTGTTGAAAAAGAGAAAAGTGGTTGAAAATAAACTAAAAATAATTCATAAGCCCAGAAAAGTAGTTCTGAGAAAAAAGCATTTTGAATCAAATGGTACATAAATAAATAAAATTATTTTCAACCTAGATGTTGTATTTTAATGATCAAAATACACATCCCCTTTTCAGAAATTGTCAATATAGTGTAGAGGAAACTTTTGATATGTTTAAATTGAGAAAAACAAGATCCTTGTTTTAGAAAATAAGCCTAACATTTTTTTTAAAAGTGCCAAGGTGGGGCCCTAATTCATAATTTTTCAGAGAGTTGGATTGATATTTTACTATCATGGGGTCTTAACTTGAAGGAAACATATTGTTTTAATAAAAACCACTGTATTTATGGCCAGAAAGTACTCATGGTGAAAGATATGACTGCCTAAAATCACTTGCCCTACTGCACATTGACCTTTAAATACCAGTATTTAAAAATTATAAGATGAACAACTCTAACTTTGCTTAACGTTCAATTTGAAACCAGAACAATGGCAATGCCAAAGCGTAGCGAATCCCATCGAACAGCTATGGCTGGCATTTTTACAAACAAAGTATATAGCAAAAATGGCAGCCATTTTTCAAAATGGCCACCTTCTACCAAAAGTATCATTAGACAGTGTGCCATGCTTATAGTATTCACATACCAAATATGAACAAAATCACTCCAATACTTTTTGAGTTATAGTAAAATAAGTTAAAATGGCCGCCATTTTTCAAATTGGCCGCCTTCTACCAAAAGTGTCATTAGACAGTGTGCCATGCTTATAGTATTCACATACCAAATATGAACAAAATCGCTCAACTACTTTTCGAGTTACAGCAAAAATCGTAAAATAATGAGTAAAGGCTGCCATTTTTCAAGATGGCTGCCATGTGCTTTTTTAATATCTACATTTCTAGTTTTATTAATGTCCTACATAATTTTTTTACATTTAAAACATATTGCTATTACAGTTTTACATATTGCACCTTAATTACTGTAAAATCCGCACTAAAATGGCCGTCATTTTTAAATGAGCGGCCATTTTAAAAATTGGCTTTCGAGCAGAACTTCTACTCCCATAGGGTATATGTGTACAAAATATGAACAAAATCGGGCCAACGGTATTTGAGTTATGTATTTGAGTTGAGTTATGTACGGACGGACGTACGTACGTAGTACGGACGGACGACTGGAGGCGTTCTTGACGATTGGACACAAATCCCTTAGTTGATTAGAATTACCAGTAAATATTTCTTAGGTACTGTGATGTACATGAAACCGTTCAATCGTGATAAATCATATTTATGTTGTGTTATATCCTTTTTACATGCTATTATTGTATATTCAGTCAAGTTTAGACTGTGGAAACAGTCATGATTTGCCGATAGGGTGTGGATGGAGCTTAGTAGAGTGTGGTGCGTCGCCACAGTCTAAAAGCCTGGCGTGAGCCCTGCAGGCATTGTTTCCTAAACTTTGCATTCCCGCTGCACGGCCATGCAAAGATTTGTTAACAACACCTTCATGGTATGATTCAGCAAAAATGCACTGAGTCCAAGGCTTAAATCCTTAAACGTTCTTTGTCATAAATACTTTGTGAATACTTTCAATAGGAAACATGCTGTAGGTTTAATAATTAATTAAACAACTGGAGATGCACTTAGAAACTATTTTAGTCTAAAGGATGGGTATCGATATGGCGAACTTTTTGAAGACACGTTTCTCTTAAACCAGTCATCAAAAAATTCTGAAAATTCTACACATTGTCAATTTAACGTTCTTTGTCATAAATACTTTGTGAATACTTTCAATAGGAAACATGCTGTAGGTTTAATAATTAATTAAACAACTGGAGATGCACTTAGAAACTATTTTAGTCTAAAGGATGGGTATCGATATGGCGAACTTTTTGAAGACACGTTTCTCTTAAACCAGTCATCAAAAAATTCTGAAAATTCTACACATTGTCAATTTAATGGTCATCTTTTGAATGGTAACAATATAATTGGAAAGATATATATATACTTTCATCTATATTGTTTTAGAAAACACATCAAACACTTGTTTTGTTCTTGGTATCATGTTTCCAGAGTGAAATAAAACATCTTTCCGAACCTCATTGGAAGAAAACGACATAAACACAACATGTTTAGGTCTCTCAATATTGTAATTGTACAAAGGAAATTTTGGTTCATTTTAAAAAAGTATCTTGTTAATGCAATAAAAGGTTTATCTTGATTTTTATCTATTTTGGGGGATTTTGTTTTAATTTTTTGAATACTTTTTTTAAAATGAACCAAAAATTCCTTTGTATAACTATAATATTGAGAGGTCTAAAAACATGTTGTATATGCTATTTTGTTCCAACAAGGTTCGGAAAGACATTTTATTTCATTCTCAAGAATTGGTAGAAAGGAGCAAAAACAATTGCACTAGAAAAACGAAAAATGTTAACAAAAACAGTTATATCAAATATTTCTAAATAATTTTCGCATTAAATTGTTGTCAATCAGTCAACATTACATAAAATACTGTGTTTTTTTACAGAATGTTTTCAATGATTGGTTTAAGAGTAAAACATCGTTGAATTCAGTTCTCCATATCGATACTCAACACACTTGTCCAAAGCCAGCTGAGGAACCATTAAAATAGATGACGGGTTAAGAAACTTGCCTTTCTCATATTCCCTGATTACAATGTGGCCTTTTTTTATGTTGTTTGTAGTGGAGAAATTTCAGATTGGTCAGCGACATTTTTAATTCCTTGGGCATGTGAGAGATTTATAAAATCAAAGAAAAACATTTTTTCCTACCAATAGTAGGTAAAATTAGGTAACTATAAATAAATCATGCATTTATAGAATTGTAATCACAGTTTCAACCTTATTACGCACATATTTCAATCATAAACAGGGAACAAGTTTAGATTTTTCTATGTTAAAAATTTTACGTGGAAAGTTCCTCAGCTTGCTTCAGCCAGGTGTGTTCAGTTAGTTTAAATATACTCCTTAAAAAAATTTAAGGACCAGTGGTTTTCCTCAAAGGTTTACATGTTAACGCCCATGTTTGTTTGAACGACTATTTTCTAAGCGGGGAACAAAAGGAATCCCAATAAAGTAAATAAATAAATCTGTATCTTGATTCTATTCCCTATAAAGTCCGAACGTTTCAATGTTATATCTCCATTACATTGGGTCAAAATTTGATGTCAAAATTGGTGAATTTCATGAAATTTAACAAAAATGGCAGATCCCATGTTAAACAAATGGGGAATGGTTGGGTTGCCATAAGTCATATGAGGAACGATCCATCCATCCGATTGCTCTCAAAATTGAAATTGTAAGAGATAATTTAATTTGCTAAATTGTCCACTCGACAAAAATATGATTTAATTGTCCAGGCTTTACAAAAGTTAATGGGTTCAAATTCAATAATTTTTTAATGAACCTCTTATTGAAATAACACAGGTGGTTCAGTGAGGTGGTCAAAATTACGTTAACGCTCCGTATCGCTAATTTTAACAACATAAGCGAGACATTTAGCATGTAAAATGTAAAATTTCATGAAATTCATCAATTTTTGACCCAATGTAATGGAGATACAACATTGAAACGTTGCGGACTTTATAGGGAATAGAATCAAGATACAGATTTATTTACTTTATTGGGATTTCTTTTGTTCCCCGTTTAGAAAATAGTCATTCAAACAAATATGGGGGTTAACATGTAAACCTATGAGGAAAACCACTGGTCCTTAACCTTTTTTGAGGAGTATAAATGTTTCTTCCTAATACTGACAGGGAAGCAAGACATCAGAAACAAGTAGACATAAATATTTTGAAGACGCCACAGATTTGTAATATTTAAGGACACCTTTTTTTATTATCATTTTCATTTTCTATACATACTTAAGTACATTGCCATAAGAAAATAGTTATTGGTAGATTTGTTAAAAAGCAGAAGCCTAGCTTTTATCTGAGATATTTGCTATAACACTAAAGCCCAAACACCACATAATGACACTTAAGCCCAAACACCACATGTGCAATGATACTAAAGCCAAAACACCACATATGCAATGACACTAAAGCCCAAACACCACATGTGCAATGACAACAAAGCCCAAACACCACATGTGCAATGACACTAAAGCCAAAACATCACATGTGCAATGACATTAAAGCCCAAACACTACATGTGCAATGACCCTAAAACCAAGGCAGCCAACTTGCAATATGCAATTATTTAAGCCAGGCTCTTCTCGTCCAATGAGAATAGGGGACAAACTAGAAGCCAAACATGAGGGGAAATATTTGACTTTGGATCATCAGTCCTACCGTGACTTTGGTGTGTTAGGTACATTGTACTCAGAGGCCGGCTTACGAGTTGCACCATGAGAACCAGGGTAATGATTGTACCGAGGCCTCATCGATGTGTCTTTATGAGGTCCCGCACTACTACTTGGCATGCTATGGTTGTAGTCAACAGTCAGTGGAGCTCCTGCTGCCTTCCCATGGTGGTAATCAACCTTTAAGGACTTTCCTGTTAATGTTTCCATACTACTCCCTGTTGCAACAGCATGTTTATTCGTATACGCTACCTGCGGTGTGTTGTCTTGGTGATAACCAATGTTGTACTGTCCTGAGGTTCCCTGGCTGTACATGTTGGTCACATTGCTGCAGGGAACTTGTTGGTAACAATCTCTATAATTATATGAAGATGAAGACATACATAAAACAGATTTAGCTATTGCCCAAATCATATTTCCAAATCCAAATGTTTTACACCACTTACTGTACAGTACAGCAAGACTACAAGTATTCGATGGTGATCTTTAAATGATGTCAATGAGGTTGTTAAAATAGAGCATATTGTTGAGGTTTACAACAAAAGCATATAAAACTAACCAGAACAACGGCAACGCCAAAGCGTAGCGAATCCCATCGAACATTTTTCAAAAGGGGCACCTTCTACCAAAAGTGTCATTAGACAGTGTGCCATGCATATAATATTCACATACCAAATATGAACAAAATCGCTCTACTACTTTTTGAGTTATAGCAAAATACGTTAAAATGGTGGCCATTTTGAAAAATGGCCGCCTTCTACCAAAAGTCTCATTAGACAGTGTGCCATGCTTATAGTATTCACATACCAAATATGAACAAAATCGCTCCACTACTTTTCGAGTTATAGTAAAATACGTTAAAATGGCGGCCATTTTGAAAAATGACCGCCTTCTACCAAAAGTGTCATTAGACAGTGTGCTATGCTTATACATTTTCACGTACCAAATATGAACAAAATCGCTCCACTACTTTTCGAGTTATAGTAAAATAAGTTAAAATGGCAGCCATTTTGAAAAATGTCCACCATTTTTCAAAATGGCCGCCTTCTACCAAAAGTGTCATAAGACAGTGTGCCATGCTTACAGTAGTCACATACCGAATATGAACAAAATCGCTCCACTACTTTTCCAAGTTATAGTAAAATACATTAAAATGGCGGCCATTTTGAAAAATGACCACCCTCTACCAAAGGTGTCATTAGACAGTGTGCCATGCTTATACGTATTCACATACCAAATATGAACAAAATCGCTCCACTACTTTTCTAGTTTTAGTAAAATAAGTTAAAATGGCGGCCATTTTTCAAAATGTCCGCCATTTTTCAAAATGGCCGCCTTCTACCAAAAGTGTCATTAGACAGTGTGCCATGCTTATTGTATTCACATACCAAATATGAACAAAATCGCTCCACTACTTTTCGAGTTACAGCAAAAATCGTAAAATAACGAGTAAAGGCCGCCATTTTTCAAGATGGCGGCCATGTGCTTTTCTAATATCTACATTTCTAGCTTCATTAATGTCCTATATATTTTTTTTTACATTTAAAACATATTGCTATTACAGTTTTACATATTGCACCTAAATTACTGAAAAATCGGCACTAAAATGGCCGCCATTTTTAAATGAGCAGCCATTTTGAAAATCGGCTTTCAAGCAGAACTTCTACTCCCATAGGGTATATGTGTACAAAATATGAATAAAATCGGGGGCGTTCCCTATAAACCTCCGAACTTCGTTCGATGGGATAATAACTTACCTTTCAGGAAATGATAGGAAGTCATCTAAATTTGGACCATTTCTCCCGAGTGGATCATCAGGGGGCATAAACATGTCTCCAACAAATGAGTACAGCAATAACCTAGAAACAAGATCATCAGGGGCATAAACATGTATCATCATTTGCATAAACATGTATCCTACAAATGAATACAGCAATGACCTAAAAACAAATTTATCAAGAGCATAAACATGTCTCCAACAGATGAGTACAGCAATGACCTAGAAACAAGATTATCTGGGGCATAAACATGTCTCCTACAAATGAATACAGCAATGACCTACAAACAAGATTATCAAGGGCATAAACATGTCTCCAACAGATGAGTACAGCAATGACCTAGAAACAAGATTATCTGGGGCATAAACATGTCTCCAACAAATGAGTACAGCAATAACCTAGAAACAAGATTATCTGGGGCATAAACATGTCTCCTACAAATGAATACAGCAATGACCTACAAACAAGATTATCAAGGGCATAAACATGTCTCTAATAAATGAGTACAGTAATAACCTAGAAACAAGATTATCAAGGGCATAAACATGTCTCCAACAAATGAGTACAGCAATAACCTAGAAACAAGATTATCAAGGGCATAAACATGTCTCCTACAAATGAGTACAGCAATAACCTAGAAACAAGATTATCTGGGGCATAAACATGTCTCCTACAAATGAGTACAGCAATAACCTAGAAACAAGATTATCAAGGGCATTAACATGCGTCCAATAAATGAGTACAGTAATAACCTAGAAACAAGATTATCTGGGGCATAAACATGTCTCCAACAAATGAGTACAGCAATAACCTAGAAACAAGATTATCTGGGGCATAAACATGTATCCTACAAATGAATACAGCAATGACGTACAAACAAGATTATCTGGGGCATAAACATGTCTCTAATAAATGAGTACAGCAACAACCTAGAAACAAGATTATCAAGAGCATAAACATGTCTCCAACAGATGAGTACAGCAATGACCTACAAACAAGATTATCTGGGGCATAAACATGTCTCCTACAAATGAGTACAGCAATAAACTATTAAAGATAATGGTTGTAATCTAAGGTTGCCAATAAAAAATAATTTAAAGGGGCAATGATTAAATTTATCCCTTATCACGCCTAACCATCGACAAGGTACAGTCACGTGACAGTGACAAAATATACCGTAGTACACTTTTGATGTACGATGTCATTTCCGCCATTTTAGATCGCCAATTTTCTAGAATGAGGAAGAGAGGAAAGAACTAGCATTTATTTGATCAATATTGTGTCAGTTCATCATCAGGTAGTTGTTGCATTCGAATTGTAATTAAGTTGCAAATATGCATATCTACTTCAAATGATCCTCGGCAACTTCAATATCTTGTTATAGATCTACCCAGTACGTCAGGGATCTCTAAATCTTGACTGAATTTCGCAAAATTTTCTCTAATTTTTGTTTTGCTATGCAAATAACAGCCAAACTACGGCTAACACAACTTAAAATAAGTATACAAATATACACACAGAGTTATGCAAAACCGCTTTTTACTTTGGATGCTACTACGAAAAATAGATAATGTATGTTGTCAACTCGGATGTATGTTGTCACATTGGCCTTACAGATCTCAATTCACAGTTAATTTTACAGTGAATGAAATGCTATAATGTACGTGTAATAGAAGGAACATATTTGATAATAAAGTAATAATAATAGTAGGCATATCAGATATATTTACTCTAATATTTTGTCCGTTAATCCATAAAATTGTCGTTCACTACGAAAAGGTCCTTAAGGGAGCATATTCAGGGTAAACATTCCGATCGCGATTATGTATGTGCTGTTTGTGGAAAACGTTTCAAGTGGAGGTCATCAATGAAGTGCCACATTAATAGCCACAATAAAAGAGACTAAATCCATATTTGGACCGTTCGTTTTCTTTAGATTAAGTGATTTTCACTTTATGTTTGTTTGGTTAAAACCCTTTTTGTACGAATAACGTACATGCATATCTGACATGAAAGTCTTTTATTAGGAGTTACTTCACAATGTTGATAATATTTTAATTCCATAAAGATCATTGGGTGTGTACCAAATTAAGCGTGACAGTTGATCGCAGGGGGTAAGGTACAACACGAGGATGATGCGATTTGAGCAAACTGAAGGATAGAGATGGAGAGGGCGTAGCTTACCACGATGGGGATACAGGAGCATGTTCGTTGAACATCACTTGTTACGCATAAAACCCTTAATGCATTTTTGAAATTAAATCATTGCAATGTTTAATATTATAACTCAGGACAACATACACTGTGAGTTGACAACGTAAATTTCTGATTTTTTAAATTATACCAAATGCATGAATACTGTAAAACGGGTATTGTTAGCGAGGGGTAATTGTTAGCGATCGCTATAGTTTCGCTAAGAATTCAATTCGCTAAAATAAACCGGGGTTAAAATAATCCGAGCGCTAAAATTTGCAATTCCCGGGAAACTACATGAATACTAGTATTTAAGGAGCTTTTCGTTCAGTTCTCGACTTCCGGTTTGTAATTTGAAAAAGGTAAATATTTTTAAATCGTATGTTTCTTTCAATATCTGAAGGATAAATAGCCATCCATCAGTGAAATAGTATTAATAGTAAATATAAAGATAAAAGGTGTTAATTGAACACGGTTCAACAGCCAATGATATTGCTTAAATTCTCCCGTACCATAAGTGAGCAAAGGATCACTTTCAAAATCAAAGTCTATAGAATCTATACACAGTGAATGTTCTTGGGTCGAAAACTTCTTTTGCTAAAATTTCCCGCGCTAAAACCCCCTAAAATTGAAAAATGGCTAAAATTTCCCGGTGTCAAAATTACCCGTTTTACAGTATTTATTTAATCTTCACCCGTCTTAAACTATGTAGTTTAGAGAAACACATTCTCATAAATATATTCGACACTCTGAGACGTCAGGGGAGAAAATTATTAATAACATTTTTCCAACCGAACAATTGTATGGGTAGACTAACAACGATAAAAATCGAGCACTGCTCGAAGATCTTTTAACGTAATCAGAAAAATAAATATCTTTGAAATCGAATACACGCGAAATCAAACATGTAATTCTTTTATGTATTCCTCAAATGTTTTTTTGAAAACCTGCATCAAACCTACATCATAGTCTTTGCTTAAAATCAGTTGATAGTGACTTCGTACATCAAAAGTGTACTACGGTAAATTTTGTCACTGTCACGTGACTGTACCTTGTCGATGGTTAGGCGTGCTTATATCGGAAAGAGAAAGCCTCAAATTGCACAAAAAGCGAAGTACCTCTTCTGGATGGCCTCGCTGTACTCTCTGCTATCATTTATGAGATCCCGATAGTTGTCGTTAGAAACAATGATACCCTTGGTACGCACAGATAGCCGGATGATGAACCTAAGTGTTAAAACGTGGATGGTTGTTAGCATTCAGAATCAATGATAGATATACATGAGTTATTAAGGGGCAACCAAAGGTAGGTATTAAGAGAGGATGGCAAAGACAATTTGCTGTATTCATATCACATTTATTTCTCTAATGATATGTGACCTTAAAATTGTAATCGAGTTTTCAAATACACGAAAAAGCACAAAATTTTGAAATGACTGTTGTCTTATGTAATAGTTTATACAATAGATTCAATATATACAAATTTGGATTTCAACTTCTGAAAACTTGTAGATGATTTTGAAAAAAACTGAAGTCAGTCTAAACAGTATTTGTCTAGAATTTGTTACAGACGCCAACAGCCGTCACAAAAAAACGGAGACCATAACAATATGTCACCACTTTTTGGTGGTGACATAAAAACTGTTACAATCTTGCTACAACAGACTAGATGTGAGCAGAAATGAACTTGATATCAAATATTTGAAATTTAGTCAGTAATAGTAAATTTGTTATCTAAATAATACATCTAAATACATTGTATCAGCTTAAAATCAGTTTGGGTAGGCTTCCTAAGCAGTCAAAGATAACCAGAACAACGGCAACGCCAAAGCGTAGCGAATCCCATCGAACAGCCATGGAGGGCATTTTTGCAAACAAAGGATATAGCAAAAATGGCAGCCATTTTTCAAAATGGCCGCCTTCTACCAAAAGTGCCATTAGACCATGTGCCATGCTTATGGTATTCACATACCAAATATGAACAAAATCGCTCCATTACTTTTCAAGTTATAGTAAAATACATTAAAATGGCGGCCATTTTTCAAAATGGCCACCTTCTACCAAAAGTGCCATTAGACAGTGTGCCTTGCTTATAGTATTCACATACCAAATATGAACAAAATCGCTTCACTACTTTTCGAGTTATAGTAAAATATGTTAAAATGCCGAAATATTATTTTATCCTTTAGTATAGTGTTTAAATTATTATATTAGGACTAAAACTAACTGCTCAACTTAAAAACTATTATGAGAGGATTTTATGAAACTGAATAAAAACTGCTAACCAGAACAACGGCAACGCCAAAGCGTAGCGAATCCCATCGAACAGCCATGGAGGGCATTTTTGCAAACAAAGGATATAGCAAAAATGGCAGCCATTTTTCAAAATGGCCGCCTTCTACCAAAAGTGCCATTAGACCATGTGCCATGCTTATGGTATTCACATACCAAATATGAACAAAATCGCTCCATTACTTTTCAAGTTATAGTAAAATACATTAAAATGGCGGCCAATTTTCAAAATGGCCGCCTTCAACTAAAAGTGTCTTTAGACAGTGTGCAATGTTTATAGTATTCACATACCAAATATGAACAAAATCGCTCTACTACTTTTCGAGTTACAGCAAAAAGCGTAAAATAACGAGTAAAGACCGCCATTTTTCAAGATGGCTGCCATGTGCTTCTTTAATATCTACATTTCTAGCTTTATTAATGTCCTATATAATTTTTTTACATCTAAAACATATTGCTATTACAGTTTTACATATTGCACCTAAATTACTGTAAATTCGGCACTAAAATGGCCGCCATTTTGAAATGAGCGGCCATTTTGAAAATCGGCTTTCGAGCAGAACTTCTACCCCCATAGGGTATATGTGTGCAAAATATAAACAAAATCGGGCCAACGGTATTTGAGTTATTGCCCGGACGGACGGACGGACGGACGGACGGACGGATGGACGGACGTACGTACGGACGGACGGACGGACGGAGGCGTTCCCTATATCCCTCCGAACTTCGTTCGATGGGATAAAAATCAAGAAAAGTGAAATATGACCTTGAGCATGTAATCAGAAATGTATCACTATTTGTTACACACAACGATACTGACCATAATAATATTGTAAACATAAGGCATACCTATCATCATAACACACAACATTCTTTCCATTAATATGACGAGATGGTGTGAATGTCAGCATCCCTGCCTCCTCTAGCTTGATAAGAATATCACCATCCTTGGTCGGCATCCTTACATTTCGTCCTCCTTTCCTCCAATTAGGCACAAACACAGTGATATTCTTATGGCCCCTGGACTTGAAGTACTCCACACACAATTCTATACCTCTGCAGGAGAAGACCTTGTTGTTGCCATGACTGAAATTCAAAATTTAATGATGGGTGAAATGCTATTGTTAATTTGTTTGTTGAAGTGGCATTTTAGTGGATGCAAACAGAAGAGAGTGGCATTTTAGTGGACGCATACAGGAGTGGCATTTTAGTGGACACAAACAGGAGTGGCATTTTAGTGGATGCAAACAGAAGAGAGTGGCATTTTAGTGGATGCAAACAGAGAAGAGTGGAATTTTAATGGACACAAACAGGAGAGTGGCATTTTAGTGGATGCAAACAGAAGAGAGTGGCATTTTAGTGGAAGCAAACAGAAGAGAGTGGCATTTTAGTAAACACAAACAGAAGAGAGTGGCATTTTAGTGGATGCAAACAGAAGAGAGTGGCATTTTAGTGGATGCAAACAGAAGAGAGTGGCATTTTAGTGGACACAAACAAGAGAGTGGCATTTTAGTAAAAACAAACAGAAGAGAGTGGCATTTTAGTGGATGCAAACAGAAGAGAGTGGCATTTTAGTGGATGCAAACAGAAGAGAGTGGCATTTTAGTGGATGCAAACAGAGGAGAGTGGCATTTTAGTGGATGCAAACAGAAGAAGTGGCATTTTAGTGGATGCAAACAGAAGAGAGTGGCATTTTAGTAAACACAAACAGAAGAGAGTGGCATTTTAGTGGATGCAAACAGAAGAGAGTGGCATTTTAGTGGACGCTAACAGAAGAGTGGCATTTTAGTGGACGCAAACAGGAGTGGCATTTTAGTGGATGCAAACAGAAGAGAGTGGCATTTTAGTGGATGCAAACAGAAAAGAGTGGAATTTTAATGGACACAAACAGGAGAGTGGCATTTTAGTGGATGCAAACAGAAGAGAGTGGCATTTTAGTGGAAGCAAACAGAAGAGAGTGGCATTTTAGTGGATGCAAACAGAAGAGAGTGGAATTTTAATGGACACAAACAAGAGAGTGGGATTTTAGTGGATGCAAAAAAAAGAGAGTGGCATTTTAGTGGATGCAAACAGGAGTGGCATTTTAGTGGATGCAAACAGAAGAGAGTGGAATTTTAATGGACACAAACAAGAGAGTGGCATTGTAGTAAACACAAACAGAAGAGAGTGGCATTTTAGTGGATGCAAACAGAAGAGAGTGGCATTTTAGTGGATGCAAACAGAAGAGAGTGGCATTTTATTGGACACAAACAAGAGAGTGGCATTTTAGTAAAAACAAACAGAAGAGAGTGGCATTTTAGTGGATGCAAACAGAAGAGAGTGGCATTTTAGTGGATGCAAACAGAAGAGAGTGGCATTTTAGTGGATGCAAACAGAGGAGAGTGGCATTTTAGTGGATGCAAACAGAAGAAGTGGCATTTTAGTGGATGCAAACAGAAGAGAGTGGCATTTTAGTAAACACAAACAGAAGAGAGTGGCATTTTAGTGGATGCAAACAGAAGAGAGTGGCATTTTAGTGGATGCAAACAGAAGAGAGTGGCATTTTAGTAAACACAAACAGAAGAGAGTGGCATTTTAGCGGACGCACACAGAAGAGAGTGGCATTTTAGTGGATGCAAACAGAAGAGAGTGGCATTTTAGTGGATGCAAACAGAAGAGAGTGGCATTTTAGTGGATGCAAACAGAAGAAGTGGCATTTTAGTGGATGCAAACAGAAGAGAGTGGCATTTTAGTGGACGCTAACAGAAGAGTGGCATTTTAGTGGACGCAAACAGGAGTGGCATTTTAGTGGATGCAAACAGAAGAGAGTGGCATTTTAGTGGATGCAAACAGAAAAGAGTGGAATTTTAATGGACACAAACAGGAGAGTGGCATTTTAGTGGATGCAAACAGAAGAGAGTGGCATTTTAGTGGAAGCAAACAGAAGAGAGTGGCATTTTAGTGGATGCAAACAGGAGTGGCATATTAGTGAACGCACACAGAAGAGAGTGGCATTTTAGTAAACACAAACAGAAGAGAGTGGCATTTTAGTGGATGCAAACAGAAGAGAGTGGCATTTTAGTGGATGCAAACAGAAAAGAGTAGAATTTTAATGGACACAAACAGAAGAGTGGCATTTTAGTGGATGCAAAAAGAAGAGAGTGGAATTTTAATGGACACAAACAGGAGAGTGGCATTTTAGTGGATGCAAACAGAAGAGAGTGGCATTTTAGTGGATGCAAACAGATGAAAGTGGCATTTTAGTGGATGCAAACAGAAGAGAGTGGGATTTTAGTGGATGCAAACAAAAGAGAGTGGCATTTTAGTGGATGCAAACAGAAGAGAGTGGCATTTTAGTTGATACATTCAGAAGAGAGTGGCATTTTAGTGGACGCACACAGAAGAGAGTGGCATTTTCATGTTTTAGTGGATGCAAACAGAAGAGAGTGGCATTTTAGTGGACACACACAGAAGAGAGTGGCATTTTAGTAAACGCAAACAGAAGAGAGTGGCATTTTAGTGGATGCAAACAGAAGAGAGTGGCATTTTAGTGGACACACACAGAAGAGAGTGGCATTTTTATGTTTTAGTGGATGCAAACAGAAGAGAGTGGCATTTTAGTGGACACACACAGAAGAGAGTGGCATTTTTATGTTTTAGTAGATGCAAACAGAAGAGAGTGGCATTTTAGTGGATGCAAACAGAAGAGAGTGGCATTTTAGTGGACACACACAGAAGAGAGTGGCATTTTAGTGGATACAAACAGAAGAGAGTGGCATTTTAGTGGACGCAAACAGGAGTGGCATTTTAGTGGACGCAAACAGGAGTGGCATTTTAGTGGATGCAAACAGAAGAGAGTGGCACTTTAGTGGATGCTAACAGAAGAGAGTGGCATATTAGTGAATGCACACAGAAGAGAGTGGCATTTTAGTGGATGCAAACAGAAGAGTGGCATATTAGTGGATGCAAACAGAAGAGAGTGGCATTTTAGTGGACGCACACAGAAGAGAGTGGCATTTTCATGTTTTAGTGGATGCAAACAGAAGAGTGGCATTTTAGTGGACGCATACACAAGAGAGTGGCATTTTAGTTGACGCACACAGAAGAGAGTGGCATTTTTGTTGACGCAAACAGAAGGGAGTGGCATTTTAGTGGACGCAAATAGGAGTGGCATTTTAGTGGATGCAAACAGAAGAGAGTGGCATTTTAGTGGATGCAAACAGGAGAGTGGCATTTTAGTGGATGCAAACAGGAGTGGCATTTTAGTGGATGCAAACAGAAGAGAGTGGCATATTAGTGAACGCACACAGAAGAGAGTGGCATTTTAGTGGATGCAAACAGAAGAGTGGCATATTAGTGGATGCAAACAGAAGAGAGTGGCATTTTAGTGGATGCAAACAGAAGAGAGTGGCATTTTAGTGGAAGCAAACAGAAGAGAGTGACATTTTAGTGGATGCAAACAGAAGAGACTGGCATTTTAGTGGATGCAAACAGAAGAGAGTGGCATTTTAGTGGATGCAGACAGGAGTGGCATTTAAGTGGATGCAAACAGAAGAGTGGCATTTTAATGGATGCATACAGAAGACAGTGGCATTTTAGTGGACACACACAGAAGAGAGTGGCATTTTAGTGGAAGCAAACAGAAGAGAGTGGCATTTTAGTGGAAGCAAACAGAAGAGAGTGGCATTTTAGTGGATGCAAACAGAAGAGACTGGCATTTTCATTTTAGTGGATGCAAACAGAAGAGAGTGGCATTTTAGTGGACACACACAGAAGAGAGTGGCATTTTAGTGGAAGCAAACGAAGAGAGTGGCATTTTAGTGGATGCAAACAGAAGGGAGTGGCATTTTAGTGGACGCAAACAGAAGAGAGTGGCATTTTAGTGGCAATTCCAGCATTTAAAAAAAGTTGAGGATAAAGTATTTTATGAATTATATATATTATTAAAAGAGATGTGATACAGCAGGAGATCCAAGACGTCATTTCCATTGTTCTTTCGGCAAAATCGCGCAGTAATCTACGGTGATCAGTCCATTTAAATTTCACGCTTTTGAACGTCATGGTGTATACATGCATTTCTAATCGATCATATCTCAGTCAATATTTATCATTATATTATAAATTTGATAATTAATGAAAGCTTATAACCAGGGCATTACGTATGTGAATTTATTATTTTGGTCAGATAAAATACCAACCAGTTACGGGTGCTAAAGTTTTGACATATTTTTCATTAAAAATGCAGAAATGTGTATCATTTTCGCAGGTTAAATAGGCTATTAAAACAAGTCGGGTTAAAAAATGTTTTTCACTCATCATTTAGCCCACATCGAGCTCTTTCCAATGGTATAATTGTTTTTTTCTGAAACCCCTGAAGACAAATTTCTGCCAACTTTCTGTAACGACTAGTGAAAAATCATGGTTTTTCCCGCAAACCAATGACGTCGTATTTCTCGATTTTTATACCAAGATTAGATTTGATACGCGTATGATATTTGTTCACGGTCATATCTCGGTCAATATTCGTCATCGAATGATCATTTTTATAGTTAATTAAAGCTTATTACAAGGGCAATGCGCATATGGATAAGTTATTTCGACCCGATTAAATACCACCCAGCTACGGGTACAAACGTGTAAAACATTTTTTCACAGAAATCCACTGAAAATGCACAAATGTGTATCACATTCGCGCGTTAATTGGGCTATTAAATCTCGTTGAGTTAAAAAATGTTTTTCGCTCTACATTTAGCCCACAATGAGCTCTCTCCGATGGTACGATTGTTTTTTTCTGAAACCTCTGAAGACAAATTTCTGCCAACTTTCTGTAACGACGAGTGAAAAATCATGGTTTTTACCGCAAACCAATGACGACGTCGTATTTCTCGATTTTTAAACCAAGATTAGATTTGATACGCGTATGTATTTGTTCATGGCCATATCTCGGTCAATATGCATTAATGATTCAGTATGAATCTAATACAACATAAAAGAGTATCACAAGCACATCACATTGATGGACTTATTAGTATTACATATGATCCGATGGAGTGCAGCCAATAAAACCAGGTTACGTGTTACCGTTCTTCACGCCAAATGCGTAAATG